ATAAAAATTATTAATCTTATTAGATTAATTAGATATATATCATACATATATATGATTATATATATATATCATTTCAATGTTGTATATGAGTTAATAGGAAGTATGCATAAAGCCCTTCTGCTGCATACTTCTGCTGCATACTGCATACATAGTTGTCTCAAAGTAAAAGCAATAGTATACTTGTCCTGATCTGTGACATGAATTAGTGTTTTTTTTTTTTCATGGAATATCATTTTCACTTGAAAGAACAACTGAGAGAAACTGGTTATACAGAGTTGAGTGTTAGGCAAGATATTTTCTCAAAAGTGAAAGAAATAAGGCTGTCATTTCAAGAAAAACAAGTGACAGTGTTTATTGCCAGTGATAAATTTAAAATAAAAATAAAAATTTGGGAAAACTTGCATCTGGCACCATGAGTTGCCAACTTGTGGTGGTTATGTAGCTATGTCCCCATATTCTTTGATATAGTTCTCCTCAAGGAGTCTGGCTTAGTTTCCCACCCCTTGATTGTGGGCTGGACCATTTCTACCGAACAGAATATGGCTGAAGTGATGAGCTATCATATTGTGATTAGGTTATAAAATGACTATGCTTCTGTCTTAGGTGAGCTCTTTTATATTTATATTCTCTCTCTCATCACTCATCTGGGACAAGCTACCAGGATATGAGGTAGCCCTGATAGAGGAAAGCCAACTGCTACATGTTGAGAACACTTGAGCAGCCTATGGAAAGGTTCACTTGGCAAGGAACCCAGGCTTACAAGCAACCATGTGAGTAAACTTGGAAGTAGATCTTCTGAAGCCTGCCAAATGCACGAGTGAGTTTGGAAGTAGACTGTCTCTCAATTGTGCCTTAAAATGACTGCAGCCCAGCCAACAGCTTGACTGCAACCTCTTGAAAGACCCTGACCCTGAGTCACCCGGCCAAGCCACTCTGGATTCCTGACCCACAGAAACTGTGAAACAGTATAAACTTGTTGTTCTAAGTTTCTAAATTTGGGTAATTTTCTATACAGTAATAGGTAATATTATAGCTTCCGCAAACTTAAAGACTTTTTTCTGATAAGAGCAGTAGTAGTAATATTAACAGTTTTTTGAGGGGTGGAGGAGTCGGGGAGGACAGGGAGGTTGTTGCATGATGAGACATGTCAACGGAAGATTTATAAAAATCAAAGGTCCAATATTATCCAAATGATCAGTGTATGATGTCTACAGAATCATGCATTAGTAGAAGATCCAGTCAAAGTACAAGACAGGGGATGCCTGAGTGGCTCAGTGGTTGAGCGTCTGCCTTTGGCTCAGGATGTGATCCCAGGGTCCTGGGATTGAATCCTGTACCAGGATCCCTCAGGGAGCCTGCTTCTCCCTCTGCGTTACTCTGTTCCTTTGTGTCTCTCATGAATAAATAAAATCTTAAAAAAAAAAGACCAATAAATTTTAATGTAACAGAGTATGATTTCTATATTGCAACTGACATTTGGGAAACTACCACTTACTGAAAGCTGGTATAGGATCAAAGAAGATTATCCACACTCACCAGGAAAGTATTACATAGTATATGTGCTGCCGAAGGGAGCACACCAGGAAAGAGTATTAAAATATTCCTTACTTTTACAAACTATGTATCTATGTCTAAAGCTGGATTTTCTTCATATATTTCAACCAAAATGATGGACTGCAACAGATTAAATTCAGAAGCAGATATGAGAAACCAGATGTTTTCTATGAAACTAAACATTAGAGAGATGTGCAAAAATGAAAACAGTATCACTCATCGCACTACTCGTTTTAGTTTGAAAAATAGTTATTTTTCATAGAAAAGATTGTTACTATTTTTAAATGAGTTGTATTAGCTTGTATATTGTGTCACCAGTTATGCCAAAATTTAGTGGCTTAACAGTATTTATTTATTATCTCACCATGTCTGTGGGTCGGGAATCCAGATGTAGGTTCTTCAGGTTCCTCTGTGTCAGGATCTCTCACAAAGGTATATTCAAGGTGTGTGCAGAGTTGCAGGCATCTTAAGGCTTGACTGGGGTAGGACTGGCTTCTCAGCACACATACATGGCTGTCAACAGGACCCAGTTCTACAATGCTATTGGACATCAGTTCCTTGCCATTTGGGTCTCTCCACAGAAAGTCACAACATGGCAGCTGGCTTCCTTCAGAGAAAGAAACAGAGAGAGAGGACAATCAAGACAGAAGCCACAGTCTTTCTGTAACCTAATCTTCAAAGTGGCATCCCATCATATTAGCTGTGTTCTTTGTTAAAAAAAAAAAAAAGTCCATTAGTCCAGCCCACACTCAAAGGAAGGGAATTACACAAGGGCAGGAACACCACAAGATAGGAATTACTAGGGGCAATCTTAAAGACTGCCTACCATATGAATTAATGAAGATCTTATAAGCTTCTAAGTATTAATTTCTACTAAGTTATTATCAATAGATACAAATCACACAAACAAAAGTATTTGAGATCTTCAAAAATTAGTAAGAGTAAAAACAGGTCTTGAGACCAAAAACTTTGAGAACTGCTATTCTAATAATACAAGTATTGGCTTTCCACATGGTAGAGATGCAGAGCATTATTCAAGAGTTGATAATTCACGTCTTACTTTATTATCATTCATAACTATGAACTCTTTTCCCCAAAATGATAGTATTCATAATAGCATTAAAAGATACACAAATGCATAGTGAATTTAGTAGCCTCTGACACAAGTGCATATACAGTGTGTATCAAGACTTAGAAGTACTATATGTACTGTATATTTATCATGTACCTGAGAATACTTCATTAAAATTTTTTAATGATACCTATTCAGTATATTAAGTGCTTAGATTAGCAGCACTCAATAAATGGTGATTTTATATTATTATCATTTTGTTCAGGTATTTGGGAAATTGTGGACAAAGAACAGTATCAGAGTTGGAAATTTATAAAGTTTCTGGCCAATAATAATTATTTAAGCCAATATTCAGATGTGATTGCCATGACAGAATTTAACAATAAAATGAATAAAGTACAAGACTTGGGGATGTGGGGGAAGGATAGAAGGAAGGAATAGAAGATAAAGAGAATAGCCAGAAATAAAATACAAAATTATCTTGTAAGAAAATGAAGGTTATGTTAAGAAGTATGGGCTATTAATAGCATCAGATACTCTAAAACTCAAAAAGAATGAAGACTGGAAAAGATTTGGTAATGGAGACTTTAAAGGAAATCCCCCAGAGGGCCAGCATGCAAATCTAAGTAGGAAGTGAGAAAGAGGAGACAACATAGGGAAAAGAAAACTTTGGCCTATAGCAAAAGAAGGTTGCAAAATCCGAGGACCAGCAGATCTAAATATGTGTCTTCCTACTGTTCACCACAATCAGCATTGAAGAATTTTATGGACAAACTGCATTCTTTATGCAAACCAAGAAGGGCCAATTTTGAATCATATTTATTTGTTATATTTTTATTTATTTATTTAAAGATTTTTTAAAAATTTATTTATTCATGAGAGACACAGAGAGAGAGAAAGGCAGAGACACAGGCAGAGGGAGAAGCAGGGCTCCATGCAGGGAGCCAGACGGGGGACTCCATCCCAGGTCTCCAGGGTCAGGCCTTGGGCTGAAGGCAGTGCTAAACCGCTGAGCCACCCAGGCTGCCCTATTTGTTATATTCTTAAAACCAAATGGCTTAATAAACTAAATTTTAGAGATTTTTGCTTTAACTAAGAATTTTTCTTTGTTTTCTTTTTTTTTCTTGCCAATATGCTATAGGTATATCTTTGATTCCCCACCCCCACACCCCCGGGGTACTAAGTGCCCCTAATATCTGGTTTGATCCTGGAGAAACCACAGTCACAAAAAACATACAATGACTATCTGTAATAACGTTGGACAATTGCTAAGGTCAAATAAAATTCTGGAGTTCTCGGTTTCAATTCCTTTACTTTACTGATTGATACATTTGAACCAAGGGACTGTAGCTCCTACAGGCAGCCAGATCAAGCCTGGCATTAAAATCCCAAGATCTCTCCAACTCTAATCCTGGGGCACCTTATTAACATCACATTATGCTACATTACTTTTGATATCTTTCAAAATTATTACTGGCGTGAGGTTTTTTTTTTTTTTTTTTTTTTTTTTACGATTTATTTATTTGAAAGAAGAAGAGCACATGCGTGCTGGTGGGGAGGGGGAGGGGGGCAGAGGGAGATGGGGAAGCTGACTCCGGAGCCGGGAGCTCCACGAGGGGCTGGGATCCTGATCTGAGCGAAGGCAGGCTCTTAACCTCGGAGCCACCCAGACGCCCCTACTGCTGTGATTTTTTTTTTTTTTTTTAAGATTTTATTTGTTCATGAGAGAATAAAGAGAGAGAGAGAGAGAGACAGAGAAGCAGGCTCCATGCAGGGTCTCGATCCCGGGTTTCCAGGGTCACGCCCTGGGCTGAAGGCGGCGCTAAACCACTGCGCCACCCGGGCTGCCCCCTACTGCTCTGATTTTTAACAGAAACCTGATCCTTTGGAAGAGAGAGCTTGAGGGTGAAGAAATTTTGGAACAGGAAGGGATACGAGCTTGACACAAATTTTAAAAAAACGTTACCTTTTACGATCACCTTTTTCTGCTCCCAGGTACTTTCCTGGGGCTTCCGAAAACCATCATCCCTTATGACGGGACCTTGTCTCACGGGCCTTCCTTTTCTTTCTTTCTTTTTTTTTTTTTATAAATTAATTTTTATTGGTGTTCAATTTACCAACATACAGAATAACACCCAGTGCTCATCCCGTCAAGTGTCCCCCTCCGTGCCCGTCACCCATTCACCCCCACCCCCCGCCCTCCTCCCCTTCCACCACCCCTAGTTCATTTCCCAGAGTTAGGAGTCTTTATGTTCTGTCTCCCTTTCTGATATTTCTCACACATTTCTTCTCCCTTCCCATATATTCCCTTTCGCTATTATTCATATTCCCCAAATGAATGAGAACATACACTGTTTGTCCTTCTCCGATTGACTTACTTCCTTTTCATCACCAATAAGTCGGCCACTTTCTGCACCATTTGCTCTTCTCCATCGGCAAAAATCCCAAACCGCCGGGGCCAGAGCATCTCCAATCCGAGGCAGGAGTGCAGTTCACCGGCTGACAGTGGCGTCTCGGGGCCCAGCGTGCTCAGCGCGGCCGAGGCTGCAGAGTGAGCTGGAGGAGATGCCAGGTCTGCCCCTCGGGGCCCGCCCCCCACCCGGGGCCTCGGAGGCGTCCTCACCACCACAGTACCGGCCGCGCGGCCCAGGGGCTCCCCGGGGCCCCCGCAGCCTCACCTCAGCCCCCGGGCGGCCACTGGCGGAACTCAGCCTCGCGCGTGACGTGCCGACGTCACACCTCATGCCACGTGCCGCGGCGTCTGCGAGAACCAGCGCAGAGGCTCATGGGTACGAGAGTCAGAAGGAAGTGATAGCGGTGGGCCCGTGGGCTGCGGGACTTTCATTTCCGGGGCGGGGAGGCTGCGCGGGGGGGGACCCCGCACCCGCGCCCGCATCCACACCTGCACCTTCCTTGCCCCGGACGGTGCGCTTCCGGGTGACGACAGCCCTCGGCCCTCAGAGTCTCACAGCCACTGCCCCAGGCCACCCTTTGCTGAGAGCAGCTCTTGCTCATTGTAAGGAAAAGGGGGCTTTCTTATTTATCTATTTATCTATTTATGATTTTATTTATTTATGATTTTATTTATTTATTCATGAGAGACTCATAGAGAGAGAGGCAGAGACACAGGCAGAGGGAGAAGCAGGCTCTACGCAGGGAGCCGGATGTGGGACTCGACCCCGGGGTCATGACCTGGGCTGAAGGCCGCGCTAACCCGGGCTGCCCTCGTCTTTATTTATTTATTTATTTTTGTCTTTATTTTTTTAAACCGGGGAAGGATGAAACTTGAATCAGGAAATTTTGAGTTTTGGAGAAATTACACCATTACCTTGAAAGTAAACGTTATGTAGAATAGAAAGGTGCTCAGGGTTTGTGTGTGTGTGTGTGTGTGTGTGTTTAGATTTTATTTCTTTATTTGAGAGAGACAAAACGAGCAGGGGGCGAAGGGGGAGGGAGAAGCAGACTCCCTGATGAACAGGGAGCCCCACGGGGAGCTCGATCCCAGGACCCCGAGATCGTGACCTGAGCCAAAGGCGTCCGCTTGACGGACTGAGCCACCCAGGGCCCCCTAAAGGTGCTTAGTTTTAAAGAATGTACTAATTTTGCCCCCCAAAGACTAAGCAGTAACTATTGGCAGTGCTGTACACCTGTGATGTCTCCCGTCCTCATTTTCTCATGGAGTTCTTCCTTGAACTCTTCAGTGTACAGTCACCCAATCTTCTCTGAATATTTGTTTCATTCCCAGCAAAGCACTTATTAGTCCATGTGATGACCTCATTTATTTGCTTGTTTGTTGATAGTGTCTTTTTAAGGCAAGGTGAAGGAGACCTGTGATCTGGTCTGTTTTATTTATCATCTTCAGCCTGATGTCTGTTGATTAGATGAAATCCTTTTTTTTTTTTTTAAGATTTTTTTTTTTTTTTGTAATTTATTCATAGAGACACAAGACACAGGCAGAGGGAGAAGCAGGCTCCACACAGGAAGCCCGATGCAGGACTCGATCCGGGACTCCAGGATCACGCCCTGAGTCAAAGGCAGATGCTCAACCACTGAGCCACCCAGGCGTCCTGAGACACAGAGAGAGGGAGAGACACAGGCAGAGGGAGAGGGGAAGCAGGCTCCATGCAGGGAGCCTGAAGCGGGACTCCATCCCGGGTCTCCAGGTTATGCCCCCGCCGAAGGCGGCGCTAAACCGCTGAGCCACCCAGGCTGCCCCGGATGAAATCTTTTATGACTCTTTGGCCACCCAAAGCTGGTGCCCTTCTTCTTTCTTGCATAGGTAACAACATCCCATGTCTGTCCATGTTCTTGCATTTATAATATTTTATTGTAATTGTCCCTGATTATGTCTCTGTTATACTGTGTGCTGCTTTATTTAGAACAGGGACCTTTATTGTTCATTTTTGTTTCCCATGTACCTGGCATGCGGTGGACACTCAGAGTTTGATTGAAAAGTGAAAGCTATCCATAATAGAATTCTGATAATCTGTGTCTTTTCTAAACTTCTTAGACTATCTTAGAGTATTTCTCCTCCTGATGGTACTTTTTTGTTCCCTAATACTGAAAGCCACTCACTCCAACTAAAAGAGGTAATAGGTGTGGTGAAAAGAATGCAAAATTTGGAAAAGTGAATCTAGGTAAGAGCCTTCGTTCTCCCAGTTGTTGGTTTAGGGACAGTCTCTAAACTTTTCAGGACCAAGTTTGTCATTTGTAGACAGATATAGTAATATTTCTATATGGTTTATGTAGCCATTATGTTTCTTTATATAGAATCCAAAAAGTAATCTGGCTTTAATACAACCCTTTAAAAGAAAAAGAGTTCACTTTCCATCCTCTGCCTATATAACACATATTAGACATATTTAGTTTTGAGTTTTATTGAGACTTGTTCATATAAAAAATGAGTAAAAACTACAAACTAGGCAGGTGCAATTTAAATCATTGGTCAGGAAGACTTTATTTTAAATAAGGGACATTATCTATATAAATGTTATAAATATCTTCATAATTTAGTACTAGAGGCAATTTATTAGTCTTTTAACATGTAAGAATTATTTGTGTATAAAATAGCTTAGAAATACCTAAGAGGATGGGCAGCCCAGGTGGCTCAGCGGTTTAGCGCTGCCTTTGGCCCAGAGTGTGCTTCTGGGGACCCGGGATCGAGTCCCACATCAGGCTCCCTGCATGGAGCCTGCTTCTCCCTCTGTCTGTGTCTCTGCCTCTCTCTCTCTCTCTCTGTCTCTCATGAATAAATAAATAAAATCTTAAAAAAAAATACCTAAGAGGATTGGTTGGTACTGGCTGAAAATAAATGTAGTCTCGTGATGAGTTTAGATAAGTTCACACGTGGTGAATTAAGTCTTGTCTGGACTCCACTTAAAAGAGGTGTCATCAACTTGCTGTTAAAGTGTTAGGTCAAATTAGGCATGAGATGCATCATTTACTGTATTCATTTTTGGCACTGTTGAATGAACACAAATTTCTTTTTTGTAATTACGTAGAATTACATGGAATAACAAATTATCTTTTCGTTATGCTTGAACATTATTGGTTTCACTAGAGAGATTGTCGGTAAGTATCCGTATATTCTATGACCCTAAGTGAAGAGACCAAAATAGCGCAGCCCAGGTGGCTGAGCGGTTTAGCACCACCTTCAGCCCAGGGTGTGATCCTGGAGTCCCACATCAGGCTCCCTGCTTGGAGCCTACTTCTCCCTCTGCCTGTGTCTCTGCCTCTCTCTCTCTCTGTGTCTCTCATGAATAAATAAATAAAAATCTAAAAAAAAAAGAGAGAGACCAAAATACACAATCCGTATTGATCCCTGCAAGGGTTACTGCAGAAGTAGATAAATCTAAGGCTTCTAACCAAAAGCCATAAAAAATATGGATTGTGAATACTTAAATGTATTTAATATGTATTTATTGGCTTTTCTTGACATGCTGCAATTAAGATTGGCTGTTTCCAAGATGAAAGAATCTATTAGAAGATATGCAGCTGCTCAAAAACCCTTACTGGACGTGATGACTACAGACTTGATGAGCGATATGTAAGAAAAGAATGATTTTAGTTAAAAACATTTATAACAGAATTTTCGAAGGCTAAGATAAGATCTACTTTTTAATCAGAGGAATGATATACGTAAGATTTTTGTTATAGAGAATGTCACTGTGAAACATTCACCTTAAAATCTGAGCAAGTTACTAGCGAAAGAGATGGCTTTTCTTGCTTCATAGAAAATAGCAGTAGGTAGTTTGATTCTGGCAAGCTCCAACAAAGTAAGACTTTTTGTCTGTTTTGTTCACCCAGTGCTGAACAGTGATAGCACATAGTAGGTGCTCAATAAATAGTGAATGAGTGAAAGAACCCCCCTCCTTACTATTATTGCTGCAATAGACATTAATGATAATTTTTCACAAAAGTTGTAACAGCAATTTGCTCATCAGGTTATTTTATTGTTTTTATTGAGTATTGAGAAATCACATATATTTATGAATTGTAAGATATAAATAATATAGTAAATTGATATTGTACACGTGATTATGTTTTAGAAAAAGTACATTACTGCTACCTTTGAAATTGGCATGTGCCTTTGGTCCAATGCTATGTCTGCATCCCACCCTATCTTGAATTTTATGTTTTTGTTCCATGTCTTTTTCTTTATAGTTTTACCAACATATACGCATATACGTGCCCCTAATATATTGCTTAGTTTTGAATATTTTTGAACTTTACATGAATTAAATCTTGCTGTTTATTCATGTCTTTTCGTTATTCAAAATTCTTACATTCCTAAGATTTATTCATGATGTTGCATGTAGCTATAATTTATTCCTTTTTACTGCTGTATAGAAACTATTATGGATATATTATAATTAGCTTATTAACTTTGTGATTAATAGATGTTTGACTTGCTTACACTTTCTTCATACTACAATTAGTGCAGTAGTGAACATTCTAGTACATGTTGTTCCTGGTGCTAGTGGGAATATTGATGCGAGAATTGGAATTGATGTTCACAGCTATGCATATCTTCAGTTGTAAATAATAATACTGTTTTTCAAAGTAGGCATGCCAATTTACATTCTTATTACCACTATATAAGAATTTCTGAGCTCCACATCCTTGCTGGCACTTGATACAATATGAAAAGAATGAGAAATGCAAGGCAAACTTGACAAGAATACTATTTGTGGAAGATTTTAATATTTGTTTTTTAGTAACAGAGCCAATAGGCAAAAACTAATAGGCTGTATAAGAACTGAATAGTATAATCAATAAACTCAGATTTTTTGTAATATAAATGTATTTTTACATTTTTTGATTACAGAATATATGTTTCCTTTGTATGGTTTAGGACACTTATTAAAAATTGGTTATGTAGTTGGTCACAAAAGAAACTTTAAAGTCAGGAAAGTAGAGATTTTATAGACCATATTCTCTGATCTAAAAGCCAATCAAGTAGAAACAAGTAATAATAGAGTGTCAAATCTTAATTACTAGGGGGTGCCTGGGTGACTCAGTTGGTTAAGTGTCTGATTTTTTATCTCACCTCAAGTCTTGATCTCAGGGTCATGAGTTCAAGCCCTATTTTGAACTCCACACTGGGCATGGAGCCTACTTTAAAAAAAATCTTAATTAACTGGAAATTATAAAACATAATTAAGATTATTCTTGGAGCAAAGAGGAGATCAAAGAAAGTTGAAAACTCTTCTTTCAAAAATTTGGGGCAAAGTAAAAGATTTATTCAGAGTACTTTCATTATTGAAGAAGAAAGACTAAACACAGAAATTTTGTACTTAAATTCTCATAGTGTGAATTAAAAAAGAGAAAGAAAAATATACACGATTAGAAAAATATAGATACAGAAGATTAAAATAATTACATGCAGCTCTGTGACAGCATATTTGAAAATCTTGTATAAGAGGATTTCCTAATGAAAAAAAATGAGTAAAACTGCCCAAGAGAAAGGCAATTTTAATGTACAAATTAACATATATGAAATTTAACAGGTGGTAAAACAAATTTTTAAAAAATAATCAAGACCATATAGTTCCACAACTGAGTTCTAGCTAGCTTAAAAAGGTGGGGGGAGGGGGGGGGTGTTACTGTATGTAAATTATACCTCTGTTTTAAAAAAGGAAAAAGAAAGAAAAAGGAATACCAAATAAAACTGCTGTTATTGTTCCAGATACTTTCAATCCATAGTCATAAATTTAGTATTAACCTGTTAAGTACAGAAAAGAAAGCCATGGACAAATCTCACTGAGGTATATAGTTGTAAAAATTGTAAATGAAATACTAGCAAATGAATCTAGCAGAATATCAAACTAATAATATGCTATTGAAAAAGTGCACATTCTTTTCCAGGAATGTAAAGATGATTCCAGTATCAAGCTAAAACAGAATTTCTTTTATCAACACATTGAGGGAGGAAAAAAGGGATCATAACCATAGATTATGAAATAGAAGTTGATAAAATTCAACAATCATTCCCAAAAAGAAAGAACAAAACCAGAATGGGCATAGAAATATGATAAAAATTGTTTAGAATAACATTTGCTCTTGATTTTTCAGTAGGCAGTAAAATATTGAAGATGTTTTCATTGAAAACAAGAACAGATAGGTGTTCCTTCCGTAATCATTATTACTCAATGTCGTTTTTGAAAATCCTAGTGAATGCAATTAAAGAAGATAATAAAATAATTGGTATAGACATGGAAAAATAAAGATGAAATGGTTTTCCCTATCTTAACATTAGTCATTAGTTTTTCCATTCGTGAATACATAGAAATCTAAGAGATTAGTGGAAAAACAGAGCTGGGAGTAGGGACAAAGAGCACCACTACGAATAATAGAATGAAAAAGAAGAGTAGCAGAGAATTTCCTTAACAGAAAATAAGACTACTATAAAGTCACTGTAGTCAAATTAGTATTATACTAACATAGAAATAGATCAGGGGATCAGAATAAAAGTTCAGAAGTAGTTCCCAATATATGTGTGTGTGGTAATAGTGGTATTTTATATATGTGAGAACAGTAGTTTATTTACTCAGTAGTACTAAAACAACTGGTTTATTCAGATGGAAGGAAATAGCCTATTAAAAATGAAGCATAGATGGATTTAAAATTTTTTAATTATAAATTAACTTTTAGAGAAAGAAAACTGAAGAAAATTTAGGAGACTATATGTCTAACTTAGGGCCTGGAAAAATTTCATTAACAGGAAAACCGAAAGTTTTATAAAGAAAGATAGTTATATTTGACTATATGAATATTTAAAAATTAAAAATGCCTTTTTTGAATATAAATTTTATTTTTTAAGATAATGTACTTTTAATTTATAAAGGTATTGGATTTTCACTACAGTTCAAGAACCACTGATTTAGGTTGTGGATTACTTGTATTTCTGAGAAACTAGAAGATAGATTCAAAGTTAGATTAAGTTGAACATTTTTGGCTACAGTATATCATACTTTATATGAAACTAGGAGACACATAATGTCTGTTCATCCTATAAATAATAGTATGATGATGACTGATCCTTCCATGAGGCCAGTAGGAGTCTCTTTAAGCTGGCTTCTGTGTTCTTTTAATAGGATCCCATTAATCTTCAAAAACCCCCTTCGTTTCTGGTTTTAGATCTCCCTAGTTCATCTTGTATTTCTCCTGCCCCAGACCTGATAACAGCTGTTTCTTCAAGGAGGCCAATTCACTGAAGTGAAGAATGATATTAAAGCCCAGATTCTAGGTACTAGGAATGTTCTTTTGTACTGGGTTGGCAATGTTTCTAGCCATTCCAGTCTATACACCTAGACAAAAATGCATTTTTAAAAATAATTTTCAATTTTATTTAATATTACAGTTTTACTTTGTTCTTTGATTTCCTAATTAGATCATTTTTCTTATATTGAAATTCTTAATTCTTTTTTTTTTAATAAAAAAAATTGTATTTACTTAGAAGCATTCAGAATGTCAACAAAACAGCTGCAACTTTTTTTTTTTGCAATTACAGAGTGGTATTCAGTTAACAGAACAACAATTATTTCATAGAAGCTGCATCAGAGACAACTGAAGATGAAAAAACTACCATCCCCATATATAACTAATTTGTGCTGTGCACCAACAAGAACCTGCTTTAAATTTCCATGCCAATTTGCAACCCCCATACTGTACCAGGCAAGGTTAGTGGCTATTGAAAATACCACCAGGACAGGGCTATCTAAAGACACATTCGGTAGTGTGTTAACTATACAAAAAAAGACACTGTACAGTTTAAAAACAAATCTTACACAGCCTTACATTTCAATTTTTTTCTTTAAAAGGAGTGAGTTGTGTACAGGGGGGTTAAATGCTTTATAGACAAGAAAAAAAAACTGCGCTAGAACCAACTTATCATCATCGTCTTCTTCTTCATCTTCTTCATCTTCTTCCTCCTCCTCATCCTCTTCATCCTCCTCGTCTTCCTCCTCTTCCTTCTTTTTCTTGCTCTTTTCAGCCTTGACAACTCCCTTTTTTGCCGCATCAGGCTTTCCTTTAGCTCGGTACGCAGCAATATCCTTTTCATATTTTTCCTTCAGCTTAGCAGCCTTCTTTTCATAAGGCTGCTTGTCATCTGCAGCAGTGTTATTCCACATCTCTCCCAGTTTCTTTGCAACATCACCAATGGATAGGCCGGGATGCTCTCCTTTGATTTTTGGGCGATACTCAGAACAAAACAAGAAGAAGGCCGAGGGAGGCCTCTTGGGTGCATTGGGATCCTTGAACTTCTTTTTTGTTTCCCCTTTAGGGGGGATATAAGTTTTCATTTCTCTTTCATAACGGGCCTTGTCCGCCTTAGCCATGTCTTCAAATTTTCCTTTCTCTTTAGCAGACATGGTCTTCCACCTTTCTGAGCACTTCTTAGAAAACTCTGAGAAGTTGACTGAAGCATCTGGGTGCTTCTTCTTGTGCTCCTCTCGGCAAGTTTGCACAAAGAATGCATATGATGACATTTTGCCTCTCGGCTTCTTAGGATCTCCTTTGCCCATGTTTAATTATTTTCCTCAGCGAGGCACAGAGTCGCCCAGTGCCCGTCTGGCTCTCACTTGCCCCGGCGCTGTCTCTCGAAATTCTTGATTCTTAATGTTATTGATTCAAAAATGTGTTTGTCCTACATTATAAGGAAAATAATTTCAAATAACAAAACCAATAATAATACTGCCAATAATGTGACTGAATGAAGTTGAAAAAATCCTTTTAGTTCTTTTTGTTGTTGCAGTGTTCTGAACTGTGTTCTAAAGTCACTGGAGGGACGCCTGGGTAGCTCAGCGGTTTAGCGCCTCCCTTCAGCCCAGGGTGTAATCCTGGAGTCCCAGGATTGAGTCCCACATCAGACTCCCTGCATGGAGCCTGCTTCTCTTTCTGTGTCTCTGTCTCTCTCTGTGTGTCTCTCATGAATAAATAAATAAAATATTTTTTTAAAAAATAAATAAAGTCACTGGAAATAAATCATTTCTAGGTATTGTACAAAACTTTGATATCCAGTTATTTTTTCAATTTTTTTTCAGTTTTAGGGATTAGTTTTTAAAAATAAATATTTTGAGTTTTACACGTATATTCTTTTGATCTTTACAGCATTACGTATTTCCACTTTACTCACATACTTATCAGTATGACACCCATTATTGTGCTATACTTTCATTTTCTATTCTTAGATATACAGTATAATAGACTGTCTGCAGTTAATAAACCCAGCATTATTTACTAAAAAAAAAAAAAGGCAGAAAGGGAAGTCAAAGACAAATGTTCTAGTCCTGTTGGTTTTGTATTTCTTAGTGATTAAACTCATATTGAATTAATTATTTCAATTAATTGTCACATGGGCTAGTATTTAATATGACAAGTAAAATAACTAAAAATGCAGTGCTTTGTATGTGGGGAGAAGAGTTTTCTTTCCATAATGTATGATAAACATTGTGTGTGTGTTTGTATGTATATAATGTGTCTTATGTGTCCTGTATTTACATATCAGTTAGCAGACTCCATGAAGAATTTGTTAATGATAAAATTTTTCATACTACCTGAGACATAAATAATTCATTCAGGAAATATTCATTGTAATATTGTAAAATTATAAAAGTACAAAGAAGTTCTATCCAGCCTTGAACTAACCAACGACCCTGAACTCATGGAGCTTATATTGTGATGGGGGAAACAGACTACAAGTAAGTCTGACCTTCTCAGCTTCCTGCCATCTAACCAACCTCAGCAATTCACACAATTGTGTAGCAATGCTAAGGTTGCAAATTCTGTCTCCTATATAGCCTGCCACTTTACTATAACTATTTGAAGAGTTCATTGGGCTTGCCAAGGCGACTCAATATTAGCGGTACCCAACTGGAATTTTAGAATATAATTATTAAAGAATTTTTAAGAACAAATGTTATAAATATACCTGTTTTGAAACATTTTTGAAAAATCTGTATTTAAAAGATAAATAGCATGTATTTACCTTTGGTATTAAAACGATGATTATTTACCCTAGAGAAGAATTTTATCTAGGATTACTTTCATTTATTTTTATTTTTATTTTTTTAAAGATTTTATTTATTTATTCATGAGAGACAGAGAGAAAGGCAGAGACACAGGCAGAGGGAAAAGCAGACTCCATGCAGGGAGCCCGATGTGGGACTTGATCTCGGGACTCCAGGATCACGCCCTGAACCAAAGGTAGATGCTCAGTCGCTGAGCCACCCAGATGTCCCTCTAGGGTTACCTTTAAAGAGTAAGTTCCCCTAGTGTATTTCAAATAATTAAAGTTACAAACATCCTGTTTACACAGAAACTGCATCAAATTCTTATTATAACGAGAAGGCCTATACATTTTCTCTTGTGATCCAGAATTTCACAAGCTTGGTCAATTTATGATTACAGGTGGAATTGCAAGAATAGTAGTAACCTATACTTCACTGGCTTTGCCCCCACTGCAGAACTTCAAATCTCTACAAAGGCTTGAATCTGCTCCCTTCCCTCTGAGTATTTTTGGGAATTCCCAAACAGTGTCTAATTATTAGGAAGAAATCTGCTCAGCTGCCTTGCAGGTAGCATCTGCCTGACACTTGTGACTACTTCTAGGTCACAAGTGATTCCACTATGTCTCCCTCAGGCACTGCTTCAATTTTGGCTCTTTTCTGGACACTGCATCCTCACAATGAGTACCACTACTAATGCAGTGACGCTGACAAAGAGCCAAAGATCTTCAGCAAAGTCCTGAAAATGCCTCCTTTTCCTTTTTTCTTTTACTTTCTGTGGGAGGAGTACCCTAACTATATGGCGATTTTGCCCATTTCCTAAAGAAAGCTCAGTAAGACTGGTTGAGGTCTCTCTTCTCATTCCATCTACTCTGAATAGGACATCAAGGATAGATACGAGTGGCATACACCAACCTGTGCTCAAAATCATCCCTCTCCCAAGATAATTAGGTATTCTTACTTGATTGGCTTTGTTAGAGCTGGCCAATGTACTTAAACCTGGGTTTGGTCTCAGAAGGAGCCCGCAGTCCTACATATATATGTATATGTATATATGTTTATGTACATATACACATATATATATATATGCTTTTATCAGTCTGCCCCATGAATTGTCCAACATCAGGACCTATCTGAGCTTTAAGAGTAAATTCAGAGACCTCTTCTATACCCTAAATTGGTTTATCTAAAACTTTTCACTAGTCTCTAAGCAAAGTGATGTACTATCATACTTTCAATCATACTTCATGACATAAACTTGGCATTTAATCAATTAGACAAGTGAATAATCATATGGAAACAGATTTTATGTAGTATTTTTAAAAATTTGTGTGCCTTGTTTGCCAAGTTGCCACACAACTTTTTAGGAACAAAGAGCCCACTAACATTGATTTTTATTAGTATTTTCCTTCCTAAGCCTTGTTTGTGTATGTACAACTTTGGGTTGTTATAAACTATATTGTTTTCCACACTTTGTGTTTATGTGTATAGTTAGATTTTTAAAGAGTCCAATATAGTGAGCAGAAGCTCTCCAATAGTCTCAGGGTAACAATCATTTGATGAATATTATATACAGGTATCCTCTACTTTTCAAAAGTTTGCATTACACCACTGTGCTTTTATGAAAGACCTGGCAGGGACGCCTGGGTGGCTCAGTGGTTGAGCCTCTGCCTTTGGCTCAGGGTGTGTTCCTGGGGTTCCAGGATTGAGTCCCACGTCGGGCTCCCTGCAGGGAGCCTGCTTCTCCCTCTGCCTGTGTCTCTGCCTCTCTCTCTCTGTGTGTGTGTGTGTGTGTGTCTCAAATAAATTAATTAATTAATTAATTAATTAATTAATTCTTTTTTTAAAGATTTATTTATTTATTTATTCATGAGAGACACACACAGAGAGAGAGGCAGAGCGGGAAGCAGGCTCCATGCAGGGAGCCCGACATGGGACTCAATCCCCAGTCTCCAGGATCATACCCTGGGCTGAAGGTAGCACTAAACTGCTGAGCCACCAGGGCTGCCCAATAAATAAAATTGAGGGGAGGGGAGGGGAGGGGAGGACCTGGCAATGGTACCTGTTTTCACCATCTAAAAGAAATCCAAAGAGGATTTTCACTTTTATGAAAAAAAAATGAAAATAACATTCAGTGTGTGTGTTGCAGCAAGCCATTAGAGAGGCTAGTGAGTATGGGAGCAGCAAGAGTGGCCCCGCCAAACTCCTTAACCGGAAGTCCACTCAGTATCAAGCTGTGATAGCTTTGAACCATGTCTGTGAGCACCTCTACTTTACCTCAATTTATTTTGTATATCCCTTAGCCAGATGTGTCCTGGGGTATCAGAAAAGCCTAAGAGAGGTTGCTTTTTTGGTCTGGAAATAGTCAAAAAGCTTTCTGTATAAATTAATAATTGCTTCTTCGCTTACTCCATTTTGCCCTACAAAATGTTTCATAGGATTAGAAAAGCTCTTTCTGATAGCAGGGGGAGCCTATATTTGAATTACTTCCAATTTATGCCATCCTGAATAGCCTTGCATTAACTATCTTTATACAAAGTCTTATCCAGGATTTTTTTAATTGGGATATATTCCCAGGATGATAGTTGCTATTGGTAATATTAATGTTTTGGTATTGTTTGATATTTTCAGATTGCTTTCAAAACATTCCTACCTCTGAGAGTTATTATGAGAATTAAGAGATAAGTGGTATAACCTAGCTCATAGCACAGTGTTCAATTAAGCATGGAGGCCATTAGACCAAGGTTGCTCTCATGCATTAGCAGCCTGCAAGCAAACTCAAACCCAAGCCTATAAAATGCCTCAAGATTCTTTAGTCTAAACCAAAGGATGACCAATCACAAACAGCCAACTAGGCTTTCATAAAGAATGCAAGCCCTTGGAGGGCACTTGATGGGATGAGCACTGGGTGTTATACTATATGTTGGCAAATGGAACTTAAATAAAAACAAATGTAAAAAAAAAAAAAAAAAGAATGCAAGCCCTTGAGCTCTACCCAAATAATTTCGTTGCTTTGCTTCCATGTCTTTTCTATAAAAGCCTTGCCTCTAGCAAGGGGAGTGCTGTGGAGTGCTTCTAATTGGTGATTCCTGATGTGAAAAAAACAAACAAACAAAAAACACTTTTTTTAAAATAAAGGTTTTATTTATTTATTTGAGAGAAAGAGAGTGCAAGAGAGAGCACAAGCAGCAGGGAGGGGCAGAGGGAGAGAGAGAAGCAGACTCCCTGCTGAACAGGGAGCCTGATGTAGGGCTCAATCCCAGGATCCTGGGACCATGACCTGAGCTGAAGGCAGACGCTTAAGGGACAGAGCCACCCAAGAGCCTTTGAATGAATTTTTGTTCAAATAAACTCACTTAAAAAATTTTTTTAATGTTTATTTATTTATTTATTCATGAGAGACACACAGACAGAGAGGCAGAGACACAGGCAGAGGGAGAAGCAGGCTCCATGCAGGGAACCCGATGTGGGACTCAATCCCGGGACTCCAGGATTACGCCCTGAACCGAAGGCAGATGCTTAACCACTGAGCCACCCAGGCATCCCATCTCTTAAAAATTTTAATGTCTCTCAGTTTATCTTTTAACAACAGTTACTAGTATGTATTTGGCCTTCAGTAAGTGTCAGTACCCTTCTTTCAGACCATGGTATTTTTAAAAATTGTATTTGTTTATTCCTGAGAGACACTCAGAGAGAGGCAGAGACATAGGCAGAGAGAGAAGCAGACTCCCTCCATAGAGCCTGATGCAGGAGTCCATCCCAGGACCCTGGGATCATGACCTGAGCCAAAGGCAGACACTCAGTGGAAGCTCTTTGTTTCCCCTCCAGTCTTGATCTCAGGGTCCTGGGATCTTGTCTGGCATCAAGCTCAGTGGGGAGTCAGCTTGTGAATTCTCTCTGTCCCTCTCCCCCTCCCCCTTCTGGGGATCTCTCTCTCTCTCTCTCTCTCTCTCTCTCAAATCAATCTTTTTAAAAAATAAAATTATGTTGACATTATTAAGCATTTACCATTAACTGAGATGTACATAATCTCAACGCATGCTATGGCCTGGAGGAACATAGCCCCTGGGACCAACAGAACTAATCCACTTGTGAGTTTGGCCGTCCACATCCTTAACTGGGCCAAGGATGATTCTCAAAGAAGTTGTTCTCGAGACTCGACAGGTAATACTTGAAGTCGAGAGTATAGGTTCATATCATTTGAGTTTGAAAGAGGTTTGAGAGAAGGATCTAGTTAGGTTGGTTATCGAGGTTCCAGCCAGTTGTGTGCAAAATCAAAATAGGCTGAAACCCATGTGAACAGGGCTAACTCAATACTGACTTTTCACCCAAATTTTGAAACTTTCCCAAAACAAAGTAGCCGTTGTGTGTTTAACAATGGGCTGCCATTTATTGAACATATCTGGTCCATTAAATAAGTCCTGTCACCTTTTGAAAGGTAAAATGTAGACTTAGAAAATATAATTTGCCCAATTACACAGGCCAGTAGGTAGGGAGGTGATAGAGCTGGAATTCAAAGTGGAATTCTGACTGAATCCCAAAGCTCTTTATTTTCTAATTAAGCTTATACTGCCTTCACTTACAGTGTGTAAAACGTTCATTTTCTTCCAAGCTTTGTGCAAATCAAAGATTCTCTTTTTTTCTACATTAAAGCCTTTTAAATATAAGTAAATTTCCAGGGCTGTTATATAATTTTTGTAAGTATGGAGGTCTGTATTATGAGCTGTAAAGAATAACATTATAGCTAAAGATATTCACCATTAACATTATTTATTTTGTCTAACTTTATTACCTGAAATAACGTAGGACACATAAAGATATAGGTAAAAATTAAAATTAAGCAAAACCTAAAATATGATCAGATTTGGTGATAGATACAAAATCAGTGTGGCATGGTGGGATTTTTAAAAATCTCATTACTCTTTTTTTTTTTCAGCATCCCTCTCCCAAGGAGACAGTCATTAAAAAAGCAAAGACAAAAAGAACTTTGTTAGCATAACACAGAGTCTAGTTATCCTCTAAATGTGGGCAATATTAACATGAGAACTATTTTTCTTGTAGATTTGTTAATTTCATAAGCTGCTTAGGAGGGTGAGAACTGATAAAAAGGGGGGGGGAACCTGGATGAAACCAATCAGGAGCTAGAAGAGACATCAGAAGGTGGGCAGGTGGATGAAAATAAATTAGGGGGGGAAAAAAGAAAATAAATTAGGGGGTTAAGGAGAGTGGAGAACAGAGAAGACCAAAGAGAGAAGGTACTGCCAACTGTTCTTCTGGGGTAAATTCTGATAGGCACATATTTTAATAGGACAAATAAAGGCTTACATTTCTTACAGACTTTCTTGTATGTTCGTCATTGTCTAATAGTATTTTTCTGGTGACAGATCGCAGTTTCCACATATTGCAGGCATAATTATCTTAAGCATTAGGGTCATGGTGGAGGGAAGCATGTTCTTCTAAGGTTAAGAGAAGTATTTGTGGTGTGGTACAGAGTAGTCTCAAGCAGATTAGGACTAAAGACAAATTGAAGGTGGGGATCTGGCAGGCTTCACACAATAGAAGAATCCTCTGATGAACATTTTTCTCTTTTCTGGACAGCTCGGATGAACAGACCTCTAGCACCAACAGCTTATGCTTGCTAAGGACAATGGCCTAGATACAATTAAACGTAGAGGCTTCAAATTAAAATGGGATTTGTGTTCATCAACTCTGAATTCATCTACACCAAACTATTACTAGATATTCAGTCAAATCCACATGATAGGAAGTTCTTCCTAGATTTGATAAATGGAAAATAATGAAGTGGGAGAGAACCAGGAGGGAAAAGGGTGGAGGTGGAGGAGGAAGAAGAAGAAGAAGAGGGGAGAGAAGGGAAGGAGGAGGAGAAAGAAAGGAATTTTAAGAGAAACCATAGATTTTATAATTTTGTCTGTGTTTGACCTGGTGATCTTTGAGTGAAAGGAAGACAATCTGTTCAGTAGTCTTTCTGAATTAACTGCTGGTGTTTCTTTTCCACTTGGCATCATATGTGAGGCATTTCTTTTAAAGCACATGCCAACTCTTTTCAAATGGAGCTTTGTTCTCAGATGATCCATTAATTAAGGTATCACTGTAGAAATTGGGTCAAAATTCCACATAATGCAGAACTCCTTAGCATAGTTTGTTTTTCCTTCTCCTTTCTCCTCCCCTTATGCCTTCAAACACTTTCTCCCTCTTCTCACTGCCAGAGTGATTTCAGAAGATTCTGTAACAAGTTCTCAGAGGCCCATTGTGCAGTAACAAAGAATTCTGGCAAGGAGCTGTAGGTTCTGTCCTTGCCTCCTTTCCTGAGTGGAAGGGTGCCCTCATCCCTCACTAATGGCAGAGTAGGACAAGCATTGCCCTGGCCTGCAAGCTTGCCAAGCACTAGGAACCCAAGAAAGAACTCGTCATGCTAATCAAACCTGTTGGGTGGATATGTGGGCAGGTGTTGAAGAACTTTTCTGGAAGAAGTATATGCAATCTTGTTGTAAAAGGGATATGGGTATGGGAAACAACTGGGAATAAAGTCCCCTAGGGTTTATCTGCTTTCCCTAGTCACTAACAAAGTGGACCCAGTGTCCATGTCCTTTTAGATTGTGGTTAGGTGATGTTTTTAGTTGAGCTCTCTTATCCCCTAATTTCTTTTTGTCTCAGTTGAGGGGATCCAGAAAGTAATCATGGACCTTATAGATGAGTTTAAAGATGAATTCCCTACCATCCTAAGATTATCACAGTCTAATCAGGTAATGTGATTTCATAACTTTGAAAAGGATTACAAAAAGTATATTGTATTTTTTATTTACCAATTATTTAATGCTTGACTTTGAAATCAGTACCTGAAGCTTAGGTAGAAGTTAATTTTGCCTCAGAAAAAACAAATCTCGAATCTTACTCATTGCGTGGGTCAATGGAAATCAGGAAGATGGTGGACAAAGAAGTGAGATTGATAAATTAAGTTTAAAAAAAAAATCACTGTGCTGTTAGGTTGGAAATGTGGAACTCTCTCATAGCCACAATTGTAGTGTGTATAGTTTGCTACACTTGCTTAAGATTTGCTTAATATCAGGAAAATACCTAGGTATGTTTTAACTAAAATCTATGTCAATTAAATCAGTGGAAAAAAATAACCAAAATACATTATAATAACAGGAAGATAAATATTGTATGGGTATATGTTTTAATGTGGAAAGAAAATAGTGATTTCGATTTAAACAAAGCACACGTGCATGTGTTTTCTATAACCTCTGTTTCCCAAAGGATTTGAGACATAAAATATTGGGAGTGGAAGAAGGAATAGGTAGAGAATTATGAAAAGACATCTGATCAGGAAAAAGTAATCTTTTATAGTCTAATTTACTTAAAAGTGCACAGCCCTTAATGGAAGTGTATTTTAGTCATCTAGATCACAGCTGGAAAAGAATATGTTGTAAGTTACATGGTACAATAATAATCTCCTCATCTGGATATCAAGAGTTTTGGCAATGTCAGACATGAGGAACATAGGCAAAACTTGGAAGTAGACAAAAAAGTTCTCTGAGTAACGTAGCAATCACAAAGTCTATATATTTCATTCCAAAGGCAAGATATTAGAACCACTTTTGACCATTCATCCACCACCAGGCATCAGACACTACTAAGTACTTTCCTATTGCCTGGGACTGGGGATAGGAAATACAGACATAAAACAGGATTCTTTCAGTCAATAAGCTTAATCTAATGGAGACAGGATTGTAAACAAGTAATTGTTTTTGGAATATGGTAAAAGTAAATCCAACTTAGAGGAATATGAATGGCTTTACCTAGGATGGTCAGAGAAGGCTTTATCGAGGAAGGATGCTAAAATCCTTTTGCAGAGGTCGAATATGAATTTTCAAAGTGAAGAAAAGGATAGGGTAAGTAGATAGGAGCAGAGGAAACAGTGTCAGGACAAAAAGTATGAAACAGCATAGCATGTTCCCAGAATATCAAGTAAATATGAACCAATGGCATGGATCATGGATCTTGGGTTTAGACTTGGGGGGGGGGCGGGTAATACTGAAATGTAGGTATCTGGATACATAGTGCTAAGATGATATCCAGATGGTGATCCACTAAGTAGGATAGGATAAGGCTTAAAAGCTCCAGATGGCAAACCAGATTTTATAAATCTATATCTTAGACTCAGTGTCTAGTTGCTTCCCCTTTTCATTCCCCTGGTTTTAGTATAAAGTCTTTTTAAATGTTGGAGATTTTTCTTGAGTATGCTCTGGGGTATTAGGGAAGGAAGGCAGGTGACCATGCTTGGTCTAGGATGTAAAATAGGCACAGTCTAGAAAGCCCTGTTGCCCCTTCCAGGTTATGATTCTCTGACCACTGATAACATTAAAGAAGCTGGATTCAATAATCTAACAAATCACAACTTTCTATACAACTCCCTTCATCCCTTCCTACCCTCTAAATAGCCTCATTATCACTAGAGCCATAAATTTGGTTTAACAGTGAAATAGATTGCTATTCTGATCCCAGAGAAAGAACTCTAAGTTCCCATTTCCAACTCACTGAAGTCATTTACTTATAAGAACTTTACCTCATTCACAGAAGAATGTAAACATAGTTACTTCAGTTCTCATTTCAAAACACTTACATTGTTCTTTTTCTACCATTTACTTTGAAGGATGTGTTACTGAGATTGGTGAGAAACCCAAGTTCTTAGGAGATACTGTAACAGATTGAAGTTACTTGTACTTCAAAAATAAACTATTCAGAAACAATGCTAATACTTAGATAACTAAATTATTTTTTAAAAGTCGGATTGTAAATGCTGCAAATTTTATTATTTTGGAGATGATCCATAATTCTCAAACATACTGAAAGAAGTGGTTTTAAGAATACTTAGAGGGCTTTTATTAATTGGGTTGGATTCTAAACCTCTAAATTTCATGATTAGTATTAAATCTTTTTTTTTTTTTTAACCTTGGCCATTCATTGTTTAGAAAAGGCCATCATGTTGGCCTGAAACAAACAAAAGATTTGGTGGGAATGATAATGGGATTTTTAGAGATATATGCAGAATAGTGATTTTTTTTTTAGAATAGTGATTTTTAAATAGTTATTTATGACTAATGATTTTGAAGGAAATCTTCTTTCTGGGGCTGAGGGATGTTAATTTTAGAATCTTGGCTTGAGGTCATGGCTTCTGATGTCATATACTCTCCAGTCCAGCACAGACCCCAGTACTTTGAGTATCCACTTCCCGTATTAAAAAGTAATATTTAAAGGTTTGCATTTCCAAATTGCAAATGATTTCCATATGAGGATTTAAAAATATTAAACTTTCACATTCAAGCAAATGAAAGATGTATTTTACAATTAGGGAACTAAAAATTTTTAATTCAGATGATCTTTACTTGAATGACAGAACACTTTTGTGGAAAATAGGGTCAATTTTTGTGCTTTTAATTATGAAAGGTAATTATGTGTTTTATTCTGTAGTTATCTTGCTCTTAACCTTATACTATAAAATTGGGAGTAGTAAACAGAACTTATTAGAATCCATACAAAACTTTGGATTTTTATAGTTGTAGATGTACTCTTCTGAGTTCTCTTGGCGGCTGCTGCTGCTTCTTCTTCTTCTTCTTCTTCTTCTTCTTCTTCTTCTTCTTTTAAACATGTATGACAAAACTCTTGGGTTTGCACCAGTGATGTCTGGAAATTAGTTTCATTGGTATTAGAATTGTTTTTTTGTTTTGTTTTGTTTGGGTTTTTTTTTGTGTGTGTGTGTGTGTGTGTGTGTTTTGGTGTTAGAATTTGTAAATCTCATGAGAGTAGGACTGTAATGAGTGGAGTGTTCTAAATTCAGTTATATTTTTGTCTTTGGTGTGTTGTTTCTAGTGAGATATGATCATACTTGTGAATGTTACAGAGCATGTTATATACACTATAACTTTCTGGGTGGTTTCTAATTTAATACTTGGTATATTTCTCTATTTCTCTATGTTAATTTGTTATATTTCCTAACATTCTTCATTCATTCATTCATTCATTCATTTCATCCAGTGTTTATAGAGTACCCTACTACATGCCAGACACTATTCTAGGTACTGGGAAAAGAGCAGTGACTCATATGGATATAAAACAACACTGCTGTCATGGACTTTACATCCTAGTAAAGTGGAAAAACAAAAAACAAGGAAAATAAAGTCTATATTATGTTAAAGATAGATCTTAAGAAGCAATATGGCAGAGATATGAAATAGGGGTAGGGACAGGGAGAACAATTGACTATTAAGGTCAGGTGACTAACAGGGACTTAGTGAGAAAGTTATTTTTTTTTAAAGATTTTATTTATTTATTCATGAGAGACACAGGGAGAGGGAGAAGCAGGCTCCCCTCAGGGAGCCCAACGTGAGACCCCCAGGACCCCAGGATCATGCTCAGAGCCAAAGGCAGACGCTCAACCACTGATTCACCCAGGTGCCCCAAGAAAGTGATTCTTGAATTAAGATTTGAGGGAAGCAAGGGAGCAAACCTTGATGTCTTTGAAGAATCAAAAGGCATAGCTGGGGCTAAGTTCCTGAGGCCGGAGTATATCTAAAAAGGTCAACAAATGATGAGGAAAGGAGGAGAAAAAGACAAGGATGTTAGGGAGGTAAAGAAAAGACAACCTTTGTAGGGCTTTGTAGACCACTGTTTGCAATTTGGCTTTGACATTGAGTGCACAAGGGAGCCACTCAAGTAGCTGAGCAGAAAAGCAAGGTAGGATCTAAGTTTTAATTGTATCTCTTTGGGTGAGGTATTGAGAAATAGAATGAAAATAGACAAGGATAGAAGCAGAGAGACCATTTGAAGGGGCTAATTTACTAGTCTGGACAGGAGATGGGGTATAAATATAATGGACTGAGTATTGGCACTGAGGGTAGTGAGAAGTGATCAAACTCTAGGACTATTCAGAGAAAGAATTGAATAAGACTTGCTGACAGGCTGGTTTTTTTGTATGTAGAGTAGTAAAAAGCTGATGTAATAGAAATTGGAGTTCAGCATTAAAACTGCTGATGATAGAGAGATGAGTAAGACTCTAGGAAAAAAAAGAAATCAGGAAAGCAGGATATATTCAAAGAAGGGGGCTCAAATAGTGAAATCTGGAGCAGGATTCTTGAAACAATCTGATTAATTGATACTAGGTTTCTTGTGGTAAGTGATCATTACCTTTGTGTGTCTGTCTCTAAGGTGGTGGTGGGGAGGGGAGTTGGAATGTCTTTTCTCACATTTGATAACATGCTCAGATGATAATGATAACAGAAAGAATCATGTAAACTTGCACATTTTGCAACCAATTCCAGGATGCTTAGGACAAGAGTCAAACAAAACGAAACAAACCAGGGGAAAGAAATGAGCACTTCTTAATTTGGGGTCAGTGTTTACATTTACCCACATGGTTTGGTAGGAAAACATATAGCATAGATGACAGACAAAAGGAAAAGCTCGTAGCTCCAGAAAAAGAAAGAAAAAAAACTTTTATTTAAAAATTTTTCTACTAGAGCCTATTTTTAAAAATTCACTGAAGGTAAGAGTGAATTGGAATCATCACCATAAACTGGTGACTATTTTTTTTTAGGAGAAACATCTCTTTCTGCCTCTCCAGGACTATAAGTAGTCTCTACTCTGTTGTTTCCTTCCTATTCTGATAGCCACAAAAAAACCACTTTACACACATCCCAGTGTCCAGATTTGGTTTCTAATACTATTCCAAAAAGCTGTAATAGTCCTCTTGGGAACAAGTTGATTGTATGTTTTATGTCAGGGAAAATTAAGGTGGTCAGAAACATTTTGTTTCTAGAGGTAATATTTCTTTCAGAGATACCTGTCAAAGTATGGAAAAAGGGAAGCATTTTAAAAACCGTGAAGGGGGGCAGTCCCTGTGGCGCAGCGGTCTAGCGCTGCCTGCAGCCCAGGGTGTGATCCTGGAGACCCGGGATCGAGTCCCATGTCGGGCTCCCTGCATGGAGCCTGCTTCTCCCTCTGCCTGTGTTTCTGCCTCTCTCTGTGTGTGTCTCTGTGAATAAATAAATAAAATATTTTTTTTAAAAAACATGAAGGGGGATCCCTGGGTGGCGCAGCGGTTTGGTGCCTGCCTTTGGCCCAGGGCGCGATCCTGGAGATCTGGGATCGAATCCCACATCGGGCTCCCGGTGCATGGAGCCTGCTTCTCCCTCTGCCTGTGTCTCTGCCTCTCTCTCTCTCTCTCTCTCTCTCTCTCTCTCTGTGACTATCATAAATAAGAAAATAAAATGAAAAATAAAAAAAATTAAAAAAAAACTTGAAGGGAAGCATGGTCATCAAATTGCAACAATTTCAGCATTAAAGGGAAACAAAGATGACATTAATCAGGAACAAGCTGAGTCTGTTGGAAAAAGCTATGAATTTATGACAGCACTAAAATGAGAAACATAATACAGAGTGCACTGAAGCATTATTATAAAGCACACTTGAATTTTTAAAAATATTGTTTGTCATAAATGCTATATTTTAGTCAACACAAAGGATATTATCCTACAGGAGAGTTTTGATTTATGATTATCAATGACAAATAGGCTTCTTTCTCTACAGAGGTAAATATTTAGACAATTTTGTAAAAGAAGGGACGGTTATCTAGCCTGGTGCTTGGGGGAATGAATCAAGATTAGTTAATAGAAATAGCTGAGTAAAGTCAGTGACTCAGGCCAACAAGTACAGATCCAACAGTACAAAGATGATGTAAAGACACAAAATTAAGAGAAAGTAACCTTGATAATGTTTTGTATCTATAAAAATGAAGAGTCCTTAAAACACTGAATGACTATGTAGACGAAACTTCAGCATAGGTGGAAGTGCGCATATCTTACTTTTATTCATTCGCCCTGGCAATATGGCCCTCACCTTATGATTACAAATTATGAGAGAAAGCACAGTAAACGTTATGAGATGTAAAACCAAACATTCTAGCTGCTCCAACTTCAGGAGGAGTTGGAAGAATCAGTGAAGCAAAGAATAAGATCACAAGAGAAATTGAATCTGTGCATGTAGGAGCTTATACTATTGTAGATAATTGTGATTTCTTTCCCCAGTGTGCTGGAAACCAAGCTATAGTATCATGTGACCACACCTATGTCTTATTTTGCTTGTTTTATTTTTATTTTTATTTTTTTAAAGATTTATTTGTTTATTTATTTATTTATTTATTTATTTATTTATGATAGACATAGAGAGAGAGAGAGGCAGAGACACAGGCAGAGGGAGAAGCAGGCTCCATGCCGGGAGCCTGATGTGGAACTCGATCCCAGGACTCCAGGATCGCGCCCTGGGCCGAAGGCAGGCGCTAAGCCACTGAGCTACCCAGGGATCCCCCATTTTGCTTGTTTTATGCACCATATAAATGCCTTTAGGGGTTGCTCTGCTCTAAATTGACTTGGAATTGCGGCAGTTCTAGCAGCCCACAACTCAGATTGCCTTCTCTAACTTTAGTGTTGGCCAGGAGGGTTGAGACCAAAGGGAGGCTGATGGGACTTTTTCAGTAAAGTTAACATATTAAACCACCATGCTGCAGATATACATCCTCGTTGACAGGCTAGTTTTGGTTATCTCCAATGACAAATGCCAAACAGTAAGGGAAGCATTGAAAAAAATTGACAAAAACAGCGATAATAAAATTATTTCTTCAGGATAACAGCTGAGGCATTTAAAGTAAATATACAATACATTAGCTCTTAAGCAAATATTTGTTGCTCATTGTAGACCAAAACAATCCATCTAAAATATTTTGTACTTACGTATTTGGATTCAACAAAAGAGATTCAAAGTTGCTTATTTGTGTTATAAACCATTAGTTTTCCCCAAGTCATGTTGAAAGAGTCAGAATAGCCCATAAAATTACTTAAATGAATAATGGCAACTATACTTGCTGTTGCCTGGAATGCTGTCTAACCACATTGTAAGTAATTTCTCTGTGGTTTAGTTTCTGGTACAGCAGGGAAAGCTCTACATGTCATATGTTTTGCTAATGCCACAGATTTTTTCAGTCAGAACGCTCATACAAGTTTTGAAGTGTTTAGAAGTTAAAGTTTCTTAAGCTTGTTAATTAATATATATTTGCTTTATTTTTTAAACTATACTATGCATTATGTATGTATGCTTTATCACTTAAATTTTTAAAATAAACTAGGAAAATATAACAGTTTTGAACAAGAATTCTTATTTGCATAATTCAAACATTGAGTAATATTTGAATAAGAACTGCTTACTTTTGAAAGCACTCTTTAAAAAATCAATGCAAAAATAAATAAACCCAGAGAGGAAAATGAAAAATTTAGATTTTTGGCTAGTAACTTAAATTCTGGATATTTATGCTAAGGCAAAAATCATTTATTCAAAGATTTAAGTCCAAGGTGGGTTGGATATAAATATTGGACATTGAATATATACATAAGATCATGCATAACTATGTGCCATTATGTGATACTTGGTCTGAAGTAGATTGTAATAATTCATGGGAGAATCACACATCAGTCACTTTTGAGAGGCTTATTTTCCAGAAAAGAGAACCCATGCAAAAAACATCCAAAATCAAAATGGCTGTCGCCTTAGCGAAGATCAACCGAGGAACATTAATTCAAGGATTAAACAGCATATCTAGATCTTCCAAATCAGTGGCCAAACTTCTGCAGCCTCAGCTTGCTTGTAGACTTCTAGAGCTAAGGGGCATATCTCATCGTTTGCTGAGGGAAGTTAATGCACCAAAGCAACCCCTATATAATGTGCAGGTGAGTGAATATTGACAGTTGCACAAGATATGAGCTCTTTTTTTAGAAAATATTTTCAAATTGCAAGATTTGAAAATGTAGCACATTCGATTGTCATACATATAAAACAAGAATAGTTGTATAAGAAATTAATGATTTGGTCTTTTTTCAATATAGTATATATATTCTGGTTTAAATAAATCTGAAAGAGGAAGTGATGTGGACTTTTTTCCTAATCAGTTATTTGATTGAACTATATGAAACTAAAATTTCAAATGGTTAAACCTAAATATCAGCATACAGATTATCACTTACGTCAAACCTAAAAGGAATCTCACAAGCCTTAAAAGTGACTGTTTTATTCCTTTTTTCCCTATAACCTTTCTATGTTTCCAAGATAATCCTTGTTTGACTTAACACACTGGAGTATATTCAACTATAAACTCATTTTGATAGGCCCACCAACATCATCTATTTCAAATTATACCCTCTTTTACTGAGAATGTATGTACTGATTCTACATTGTTTTACCGAGGCTCTGTTATATTTTGTTAAGGACAACAGCTCTTAAAACTTTTTAAGGACCAGTTTGTTTTTTCTAAACTTTATGGCATAGAACTCTGTGTTTTTCCATTTGGGCATTATTCAAAGCATTCTAAATGTTTGTTAAAAGAGATTGGGAATCCTGCAAGTCTGGCACCTAAATAAACCCCAGAGCAAATCATTTGGACTCTGTCGTTGAAAGCAGAAGAACCCTAGCTCAAAAAGACGTAAGCCAAAAATATGTATTAGTTCATGTAGTTGAACAATCTGGAATTGAGAAGGCTTCAGCGTATAGGTACTCAAATGATGCTTGCAGGGTCCCATTTCTCTCTTTCTCCCCATCTCCTGGCTCTGCTTCCTCTGTGTTAACTCCATTCACAGACTGACTTGCCCTTCATGGTTACAAGATGATATGAAGCTGTTTCCAGGACTCCATCCTTCCAGGTTCAATTATAGCAGCAAAAAATGAAAGTGCTTGAGCTAGCATTTCTGGCCAAGTCCCGTAGTTCTCTCTTACAGAACGGCCTCTAAACCAGGGAAATGGGATGCACTGATTGGTCTAGGATTGATGGCCTGCTCTTTCCCTTTACCCCTCTAGCAGAGGTTGGAGCTCCATCCTGACCGCATGACCAGAGAATGGGGAGGGGATGAATCCTCAAACAAAATTTGAGTTATTTTGAAAAGATGAGAAAATGGCTGATGGATGGCTGAAATCAACAAAATATCCATTACATAGGAATCTCTCTTTAAGCAAAGATTTTAACGTATCCAGAAATCATCAGTTCAACTATGAATTGCCTGAGATAGCTATTACAAAAGGCTCCATTATAATACTTGATGTTTGAGAAAGTAAAAAAATACTTTGTGTTTGTTAACTACTGGATTCTCTAAGCACTATGAGCCTTATTCCTCTATCTTTAGGTTGTCAAGAAGAAATACAGCTGAGCTGTATAATTCCCACTGAAACACATTCCTAAAATGAATAGTTTGCCATGATGTTTCTTTCCTTCTATTGTTAATCCATAGTTTTTATAGAGTGTTGATATAAGAAATGTCCTTTGAAGCATATTTCTGTATCTGTTATGAAATCACATTTAAAGACACTGTCCACTCTGTTATTCAGTCTTTCTTTTTTCTCCTCTTTGCTAAGTCAGAACTGGAGAATCTCAGATTTTATACTATTTACAAGCTAATAAGTTAGCCTGCCACCGGTGTTCAAACACATACACTGATAACAGACACAAGACTCCCTTGAGTCAGAGACAGAGGTTGTTTATTATTTACTGCACAGCAGCCAGAGCCATAGCTTGTGTCATTTCCCTAACCCCTGACTTCCCACAGAGCACATGTTACCTAGGCGTGTAGTAAGTTGCATCATAGGAGAGGAGCCTGAAATTAGGAGACTCAGCTTTTATAGGAGTGCTGGCTCATCTGCCCAGCCTGAGAAACAGAGACAGAGACAGAGACAGAGAGACACAGAGAGAAACAAAGGGAGAAAAAGAGAGAGGGAATTGGGGGTGGGGAGCGAGAAGTAAATGTTTCTAGAGGGTTTAAGGAGAAGGCTTTATCTTTAGCGCCCTGTGACATGTCTTGGGAGATACATCTCCAGATCTCTCCAGAGGAATATACTTTCTCCTGCTTCTAAAGCTGTTTGCTATTCACCATGTCCTTTGCTCAGAAGGCCCAGTCTATACAGGAATGAGAGACAGCCACAGAGAATTGCCTCCCGATACTCATGAAAATTCAGTGGCAGGAAAATAATCTATCTTTCCAGTTGAATTTGTGTTTCCTTATATCCAATATTGAGAGCTGAAAAACACAACGGATTTGTCTCCTTGCCCTGACAGTGAGTGTCACAGGTAAATTGAGAGCTTAATTGTGATACTGCATTCCAGGGACCTGAGGTGAAAGAAGCAGGTTGAGGGAATAAGTGACCTGTCCAAGGTCCATATGCTGTGACTGTCTCTTTGACATCAACTCAAAATCAACACCTATGAAATTTCTCCTCCTTTGCTGTTGTTCTAATTGTCTTAGAGTCTAACTTTAATTTTTAAAATTCTTGTCAACACAATATTTCAAAATATATATAATGTAGTTTATCAGAAGTTCCACCCAAATGTAAATTGGTAGTAATATTTTACAGTATAGCCTTCAGATACTTCCTTTATAAAAAGAAATATAATTGGGCACCCAAGTGGCTCAGTCGGTTCAGTGTCTGCCTTCAGTTCAGGTCGTGATCCTGGGTCCTGGGATTGAGGCCCGCATGGGGCTCCCTGCTCAGGGAGGATTCTCCTTCTCCTCCCTGCTTATGCTCTCTCTCACTATCTCTGTTGCTGTCTCTCTCTCTGTCAAATAAACCTTTTTTTTTTTAAGATTTTATTTATTCATGAGAGACAGACAGAGAGAGAGAGAGAGAGAGAGAGAGAGAGAGAGAGAGAGGCAGACACAGGCAGAGGGAGAAGCAGGCTCCATGCAGGGAGCCCGACACGGGACTCGATCCCAGATCTCCAGGATCAGGCTCTGGACTGAAGGCAGCGCTAAACCGCTGAGCCACCGGGGCTGCCCTCTCTCAAATAAATCTTAAAAATATATTTATATATATATTTTATATATATAATTAACCATGTTCTAATCCATTCCACATTTTTTTCTCTACCAAAAGTAATTATTATCCTTGGGTTGATGTTAGCATTTCTATGCATACTTTTATATTTCACTACATTTGTATACATCTATTTTTCTACACATATTTAAAATTTATATAAATGATATAATACTGTACTCATCCTTCTGAAGCTTTGTTTTTTCACTCAATGTTTTTGAAATCTGTAGCTATGGTTTATTATTTTATATTGTTTGTGGTATCCCATTGTAAGAAAAAAAAATCCACAGTTTATTTTTGGACAGATGGGCAATTTAGTTTCCTTTTTTTTTTTGTATTACAAACAATATTTCATTGAACACTCTTATAAATGACTCCTTATCTCTGTGTGTGAGACATTCTTCAGGTATCTATCTAGAAGAGGAATTACTGGGTCATGAGGGATGCACATCTTCAATTTTATTAGCTGTTGTCAATATGCATTTCACTTTCTTGTGAATCATAGTGATTCTTGAATCTGAGGATAATTTCTTCAGTTTCAGAAAATTCTTAGCCATAGTTTGTTCAAATATTACCTCTTTCTCATTTTCTCTAATCTCTTTTTCTGGAGTATCTATTAAACATACTTTGGACCTTTTCATTTTATTCTCTTTTTTTTAAAGATTTTATTTATTTATTCATGAAAGACACACACACACACACAGAGAGAGAGAGAGAGAGAGAGAGAGGCAGAGACACAGGCAGAGGGAGAAGCAGGTTCCATGCAGGGAGCCTGACGCGGGACTCGATCCTGGGCTGAAGGCAGCGCTGAACCACTGAGCCACCTGGGCTGCCCCCATTTTATTCTTTATATCTATTTACCTTCCTCATATTTTCCCTTTAGTTATCTCTTTTTGATACTTCCTGGGACATATACTCACAAACTTACTGCTCCACCTTTTAGTTCCTGGCACAGGGAAACCCTTCCTTCCTTCCTTCCTTCCTTCCTTCCTTCCTTCCTTCCTTCCTTCCTCCCTCCCTCCCTCCCTCCCTTACTTCTTTTTCCTTTCTTTTTTGTAAACTCAGTCTTGATTAAATTCAGCATTTGATTTTATATAGAGTTTGTGGGGGCATTTCTATGTGTGTAAGGGTCCCACAGTAGCTCAGCCTGCCCTACTACTGAAACCAGATGTCCTTCAACTTTACTTAGTATGTTTTATAAATTTTAATACAAGATGGTTACATTTCTTTCTGGAAGTAAATGAAGTATTCTGCTTTTTCATTTATTCAGCATATATTTATTGCACATTGAAATGTAAAATCACTAGGTTAGATATCAGATGTCTTGCTCTTATCCTATATGGACTCTGTGGATGAGAGGCAAGTAAGCAGTGTCGGTGGAGTATAGCAAGTGCATGATCAGAGTGTGCAAAATGTACTATGGAAGCATCAACAAGGGGCATATAATTTCCAAAGAGTGGTCAGTGTAGCCTTCCTAGAAGATAATACTGGATCTTGAACAGAGGAGATATTAGCAAAAGTGAAGAAGTAGGAGACTTATTCCCGGAAGTGAACACTGTATGTTAAGATGCTGAGGTCAGAGAGAGCATGACTTATTTAGGAAATGTAAGCAGTTTCATGTGACTAGAGCAAGACAAGTGGGAACAGCGTCAAGTCAGAGATTCCAGGGTCCTTGAGGGTTAGGAATGCAGAATTAGCTTTATTTGGATAATATGTATTAGCTAGGGTGGAGAATCAGAATTGCCACTGAGAGGAATTATGTTGTAGCAAGGAAGAAAACAATATACCTCAAATATAAAAGTCTCAGCGAAGAAGGATTAGAAGTATAAATAGTGAAGATAATGGCCTGGAGAATCAAAGGAACAAAATACTAATATAAAAGGTGCGTTGGAGGTCATTGGATTGCTCTGTGAATGGAGTGTACCCACGGTACCAGTGTACCAGAGAGCTAAGTGGCACAGCACGAGAGAGCGACACCAGCCCTGGTACATACATTGCTTGGTTGTCTTTCCATAGGAACAGAGTTTAGCTTACCCAGGATGAATTGCAGCATGAATTCCTTCAAGGATTGCCAGGCTGCCTGTGTCAAAGTAGAACTTTCTCTTGTGCAGAAGTAAAAGGAATGCAATCTGGAATTGCCATGCAAGGGGGTATGTTTTGTAGGTTCATGGAGGATGTCACCTTATGTAGGAAGGTGAGCAGCCCAGTTAACCTGTCTGGAGGTGTTAAAGATCCTCTTCATATGTCTGTCTTGTCACTGATCTGAGGATAATTAATGATAGAAAGATATTTTTGTGCTTAGAGCACCTTAAATGGTTCTACTAGAACTCTGTTGGCTATTACGGAGCTGGGGTGGGTGCTCTGTAATTTCTCCCTCAAGAACATGCAGTAATTGTCTCCTCAAGATGATTAGAGGCTGAACATTGTTACAGGAGCTCCGTGACAATATCCTCAGGCCTTTCTGGTTGTATACAATGCTCAGCCCTAGCACATGCCCTATGTGCGTTAGCATCTTCAGAGATACTGAGCCCAATATGAAATATCCAAAGACCAACTGATACAAGTGACCTGAAGAGACCCTGATGGCCTGTTGTAACATGAGCACATAATTGGAGTCAGTCCTCTCCAGCTTTTTAAAGGAGCCTTCCTTTGTACCTGTCTTTATGGGTACTGAGTCAAGTTGGTCCTCAAACCCTGCCAGGTTATGCAGGCCTGAGATTATAGCAAGTTATCTGCTGGTTCTGAAAGGGCCTCAGGAATGGAAAGCTCTGGTTAAGTAATTTCTTGGTGGTTTTCAACATCCCTAGCATCGATACTTAGAGAGTGGAGCATCTGCTTAGCCTTATAAGCTGTCTGGATGAGTAAAGCTTGCAGCTGCTCTAGGCTGCAGTGACCTAGATAATCAGCTTGAATGCTGACTTCAGCCAAGACACGTCAGCTCCCAGACATAGTTGTTGACTTTGGCAGGGCAATGCAGGGCCATAGGATCAGGAGCTCTTGCTATGATCGAGTCTTCCTTATATATGCCCCAATTTTCCTTATAGTGGCATTAGAGATGACTGTTTCTCCTTTGGACAGGCACTGTGGAGTGGGGGAAGCCAGATATGGGCAAAAGTAAAGAAAACCCTCACCATCTAAAATGTTTGTGACTTTCGTGAACCCTATTGAACTTGTGCTTCCTTTTTCAGGATGAAGACCAGATACTTTTCTAAGTATAGTTTCTTCCTAGCCGCAACCCTCCAATGTAGATTCCAGTTTGGGGTTTTAACTCAAACTTCAGGGGCACCTGAGTGGCTCAGTGGTTGAGCATCTGCCTTTGGCTCAGGTCATGATCCTGGGGTCCTGGGATCGAGTCCCACACCAGGCCCCCCAGAGGGGGCCTGCTTCTCCCTCTGCCTATGTCTCTGCCTCTCTCTGTGTGTCTCTCATGAATAAATAAATAAAATCTTGAAAAAAATAAACTCAAATCTCACATATTTTGTGGAAAAAATATGTAAACCTCAAAAATATCAAGAACTTCTAGAGGTCCTTGATGGACTTGCCACAAGAGGTTATCTTGGGTGGTATAATTCAAGACCTGGGGGAAAAAGGACAATTCCTAGAAAGAATCCCTGGAATCTTGAAGACATGACCTCTCCAAGCTGGCCAAGAGGTTGGGACATTGGAGCTTGTATAGGACCATGTAAGAGTTTATTCAAGAAGAGTGTTCCACAGGATAGTAATACCAGGATAAACAAAGTCCAATAGTTTTCTGTACTGTGGACTGCTAGGAGCCCTCCTGTGCTCATGAGTACTTGGGGTTGCTCATGGTTATGTAGCTTTTCCAAGCCTATAGGAAATATTTTTTTTCTGGACCTGTTATCCAGTCAGTGCTGCTTGCAATGCTTACTTGTGAATTACTGAGTTAAAGTTTCCCCTATTACTACTATCCTGGTATCCTTTGTCAAAGTGGTTTTGAACAACATAAACTAAGTTGGGCTGGTGGTTTTTAACCTTCAGGTCATCTATGAGCGGGTCTTTATTCTAAACTGCTAATGGTTTGCTTTTTTGTGATTTATCTAAATTTTAGTGAAAATAAGATAAACACAGATACTTCTTTTATGACTTGAGGTGGTCAAAATTATGTGGCAGGAGTGGAACTCAAAATTACGTGAAAGAAATTTTGTTAGAGATTGAAATGTTTTTACTGTTGAAATATCTATGTGTCTGAGATGTTATTAGTATGACCATATAACATATCCACATATCTTACATATCCATGTATCTTATATATTAATGTTAAAAATTCAAAGAAATATGGGCATTATATTGATATCAAGAGTCTTTTCACTTAAATAGGCAAATGAAATTAATATAAGAAGTTAAGATAACATTTTTAAAATTGGCTGAGGTAGCTAAATAAAACCTTTGATTTATTTATCTGTTTTAACATACACTATTCTTGCTTCTAGCAAGCCAAAAAATGAAACAGGGTGGTTTATAATATGAAAAATATGTATTGGAAGTAGGTCATAAAATTGAAAAATGGCTACTTGCCAGTAGCCACATAAATTTTGGAGAAAATGTATTTTCTACAGGACTGACTTGTTAAAGGAATGGCAAGTGTTTATTAAAAGCATTAAAATGGTGAAAAAGTGACCCTGAGGCAATATACAGATTCATCATTCAGAAGCATAACATGTATCAGATAATTTATTTTGAAACTTTGAAAAGAAATCAGTTTTAATTACTTTAGGTGAAGGACAAAATCTGAAAAAGAAGTTGCAGTAAAACAGGAAGAGAGTAATTTCTCATGTGTGCAGACACCACATTTATTTTCATTGTATGTGGCCTACCAGTTACCACCATACGTCCACATGTTCACAAACTCGTGAAACTTTTACTCTGCTAGGAGGCATTTTGTTGGAGTATATCTGCTCTCTTTCCTGACGTCTTGTCTGTCTACTTGTCCTCTACTTGTCTGTCTCCCTGTAGCCTAATAGTGGTATTCAAAAGCACGCTATCAATTTGATTCTTCTAGCAAGAGGGAAAGAGCAGCAGCTGCCTCATTTCCTGGAAACTCTTTCCAGAAGCCAGGAACTCTGGGAAATTTTCCAGTTCTCCAAACTAACTTATGGCGAGAGTAGGCTAAAACTGCCCTTCCCTATTCCCATATCTAGGAGTTAGTATGGCCTGAAAGACAAGAAGTAAGAAGGAATGCCCCCTTCCACTGCACCTCCCACCACCTCCATCCCTTAGCTGGCAGACTAGATAGTATTCTTGGCTTCCGCATTCCATTAATCACTTTAGGGAGAAGGAGGTAAATTGTGATGGGCAATTTTGTTCTTCATTCAGCAGTGGCAGCAGTAAGCAAAAACTGAATACACTGCAACAGGCACTTAGAACACTGCCATACAAATGTTTGCTCAATAGAATGTCATTATTATGTATTCTTCAGAAGCACTTTTTAAAAGGCTGCAATATGCCATTGAGTGAATATAGCTTAATTTACCTGACCATTCTGCTATCAACTGTTAAATTGTTCAGTGTCATAAATAACTTTAATGTACACATACATACTGTTCTTTCTAGTTTGTATGCCTCTTTACTGTGCATTTGCATGATTTTATTAGCTGCAGCCTGTACCTTTGGGGAGTTATTGAAGCCATTGAGTGTCTTGGCGCTTACTTCAGAGGAGCATGGCTAACTGCCACTTCACTGCTGAATGGGAGGGAATGTTTTTCCTAATGCCCTCATTTCATATCCTACTCAAGGCAAGAGAGGTGACCTAGAAGAGAGTATAATTCCCTTAAATTAAATATATTTTGAAAAAAAATTAAATATATTCTGTTATGTTTGAGGCAGAGACACCTATGACCAGAAGCTAGAAATCTTTGAGAGGCAAATTCATTATTGGTGTAAACCTTCTCCTTGTCAAAAAAAAAAAAAGCATGCTGGATGTGAACACAGAGCATTTCCTAAAGCTTAATGATCATCTAAGGTTAATGCTGGCCTTCAACAGTCTCATGATTAACATTTCCAATTAGGTCATTAATCTGCAGGACATGCTTAGTATTTTGATTGCTGTTTGCTTAATGAAGAGGTGAATAATTTAGTAAAGGATGATTACATGAATTTGAACAAAGAAAAGACTGTTTTTCTAACATGCACAGTGGCACCCCCTAGTGAGCACACTTGTTAAATGTAAAAAAGTTCAAGTAATTTTAGATTTTGGAAATGCAAAATTATAGATCTTTCATAGGTTTTGGGGCAGCCTGGGTGGCTCAGCGGTTTAGCACCTAGCGCCTTCGGCCCAGGGCGTGATCCTGAAGACCAGGGATCGAGTCCCATGTTGGGCTCCCTGCAGGGGAGCCTGTGTCTCTGCCTCTCTCTGTCTCTCATAAATGAATAAAATCTTTAAAAAAACAACAAAAAAAAAAATAGATCTTTCATAGGTTTTTATAGATCTGCCATAGCAAAAGAGAGCACCTTTTTGAGGGACACTTGGGTGGCTCAGTGGTTGAGCGTCTGCCTTTGGTTTAGATCTTGATTCCAGAGTCCTGGGATTGAGTCCCCACATTGGGCTTTCTGCATGGAACCTACTTCTCCCTCTATGTCTCTGCCTCTCTCTCTGTGTGTCTCTTGTGAATAAATAAATAAAAAGAGAGTACCTTTTTATAAAAAGAGAGAGAGAGAGAGAGAGAGAGAATATATTTTTGGAATGTGAAAAAAACCCAAATAGGCTCAGTAGATAACTTTCTTTAGAAATATTTAAATTCTCATTTCACAGTAACATTGGAAAATTTAACACTGTAACATTGAAAACTTATATTGTAGTAAGAAAAGTTTTTTCTGTTTTGCAGGTCAGAAGGGGTTCTTTGTTTGAAATCATTTCTTTTCCAGCAAAGACTGCTTTAATTAGCATAATGTATGCTTCATATGCAGCACTCATTTATTTGGTAAGTTAAGAAAATTATTAGAATATAGATATAAATATATTTATCTCATGTAATCTTAAATATATAGATATATTATAAATTTATAAGCCAAGGTACTATCCTCTTGTTACACAAAATAATTTTACATTAAACATTTACTTTTCTTTCTTTCTTTTTTTTTTTAAACATTTACTTTTCTAAAAAAAATTACTTTTCTGAGATAAAGTCAATTCATTTCTGAGGCAAGTCAATCCACCAAAAACAAATTTGCTTGAATAACTAAAATTATGTTTATAAAGTTTATTATTACTTAGTCAAGACATTTTGGTTTTACTTTCACTTAGCTATGGTTGTTTTGTTTCAGCCATTGTGTCATGGTTTGCTAAAGTTCAGCATTCCATCATTTAAGTCTATGATATTGGAGAACACAAGTATTATTGTATTTTGAATTACAAGTGCTGTAATTCAAAAGTGTTCATTAAAAAGTGTGACAAAAGAGGCACCTGGGTTGCTTGGTTGGTTAAGCATCCAACTCTTAATTTTATTTAGCTCAGGTCATGATCTCAGGGTTGTGAGATCGAGCCCTGCAAGCTCTCTCTCACTCTCCCTCCCCTTCTAGTCACAGGCAAGGAGTTATCTCTCTAAAAATAAAATAAAATAAAAACAAAGTGTGACAAAAATATAAAGGATTTTATAAACTATAAGGGTTTATTTTCTTTTAATCCATTGCCAGTGATACTACTAAATTTAAAAAAAGCTTAACGTGTAATACACAGAGAAAAGTATGATGAATTATCATCATACACAGCTTGATGAATTATCACAAAATCAAGAAACAGAGTATAACCCTCATTCTAGAAGCCTCTTTCTCGCTCCCCTCAAAACTACTAACTTCATAATCACTAACCTCTTCTACAGAGGGTAACCACTATTTTGATTTCTAATACCATAAGACAGTCTTGTTTAAATTGTATTTAAATGAAGTCATATACTATATATTATTTTATATGTCTTTTTTTGCTCAGTTATCATTAGTAGATTCATTAATTACCTATAGCAATAGTTTGTTGGTTTTCATTGCTGAGTATTTCATTGATTGGAAATATATTCTATATATTCTATATATATATGTCACTATTCACTCTATGGTGGAAATTTTTTATTATTTACAACTTTGGCAATTGTGAATATGGTTTCCATGAATGTCCTTGTACATACATTTTGGTAAAATTTCTGGATCACAGAATATGCATTTGTTCATCTCTAGTAGATAATGCCCAACAGTTGCTATGGTCAGTCTTTTCCATTTTAGCCATTCTTGTGGATGTGTAGTATTATCACCTTGTGCTTTAATTTGTATTTCCTTTGTTGTTAATGAGATTGAGTTCCTTTTTATGCATTAAGTGGACATTGGGATATCTTCTTTTGTGAATTTCTATAAAAGTATCTTCTGTTTTTCTATTCTATCTTTTTCATTATTGATTTGTATTTTTAAAAAATTCTAGGGCTAAATACTATTTTGGTGATTTCTTTTATTCTGTGACTTCCTTTCACCCTTTAGCAGTGTCTTTGAAACAAACTTTTAATTTTAATGTAGTCCAGTGTATTAATCTTTTATGTTAAGTGCTTTTTATGGCCTAATTAGGGGATATTGACCTACATCCAAGATCATGAAACTGTTCCCTTTGATATATTGTACAAGGCTTATTATTTTTTCTTTTACTTTTATTTATTTTTAAAATTTTATTTATTTATTCATGAGAGACAGACAGAGAGAGAGATACAGGCAGAGGAAGAAGCAGGCTCCATGCTGGGAGCCTGATGTGGGACTCAATCCCGGGACTCCAGGATCAGGCCCTGGGCTGAAGGTGGTGCTAAACCACTGAGCCACCCGAGGTGCCCTATCTTTTACTTTTAGATTTATAATCCATTTGGAATTGGTATGAGGTAAGGGACAAATTTCTCCTTCACCGGTATCCAGTTGATCCAACTCAATCTGCTAGGGGGAAAAACTTTTCCTATTGCCCCAGAACATTTCTTTTGTCGTAAATCAAGTGTCTGTTTATAGACTCTTTGTTCTATCCATTGATCTATTTTTCTGTTCTTACACTGACTCAGCATGTATTATTTACTAATAATTATTTACTAATTCAACATTGTATTATTTACAAGAGCTTTATAAGTCATAACTAGTAGAGTAAGTCCTCCTTTCTATCCATGAGCATGGTATATCCTTCTATTTATTTGGTCTTCTTTAATTTTTCTTAATAATTCTCATAGCTTTTTTTGTTAGAGGTCTTACACATTTTTGTTCATATTTGTTGATCATATTGAAACACACAATAGTAAAGATTCAGTTTCCCCCATAACCTATAGATTGATTGTGGTCCCAACTAAAATGTGAGCAGGAGTGCAAGTTGACTAGTTTAAGATTTATAAGGAAATGGAAAAGGTCAAGAATAGCCAAGTCATCCTTGAAAAAATAGTAAAAGAACTTACTTTCATAAACATATTCATGGGTTTTAAAAATAACTGAACTTATAAATATTTTTCAGGTGTTTAAATTTTTGAGAAGTAGAACAGCTGGATGGCTCAATAGTTGAGCATCTACCTTTGGCTCAGGGTGTGATCCCAGAGTCCCGGGGTGAATCCCACATTTGGCTTCTGCAGGAAGCCTGCTTCTCTCTCTGCCTATGTCTCTGCCTCACTGTATATGTCTTTCATGAATAAATAAATAACGTCTTTAAAAAATAATGAATAAAAAATAAATTTTTGAGAAGTGCTCAGTATCTTAAATGTGAATCTCATACAAAAATGACATCCAACTGAGCTGGGATGGAAATATGCTGCAAAAAGATGGGTGAGATGAAGTAGCTGTGATGAAACTGAAATAAATTAAAGACAAAATTAAATTCTAATTTCTTGAAGGCTTTTGAAATCATCCCGCATGACGTGTCATGCTATAAACTTTCTAAGTAGGTATTAGAAACAACTTTTTGGTGACCTGATTAATTGGTCATGTATGTACCCAAAGTCTAGGAGAGGTCAGGGCTTGAATTATACTTTTGAAAGCAAATAATTATATGTTGTAAGTTAATGCCCTGTGAGTGGAACCACCATGGAAAGAGTGAAAAGTCTGGAAGTGAAAAGAGTAGAAAGTCAACAGAAATTTTAAAAATAGCAACATTTAAGGTGAGCTAAGAAGAAATTCATGAAGGAGACAAAGCAATAATAAGAAAAGTAGGAAGAGAATCAGGAGACAGTGTCAAGGAAATACTTAGTTGTGAGCAGTTAAGTATCAAATACCAACAGAAAGCATCAAGTAAAATAAAGATTTGAAAAGTGTTCATTAGATCTAGTAGTAAAGATGTTGGAGCCAACCATCTTAAAACTATTCCAGTGGTGTGATAGGATAAGTAAGACAGAAATAAGCAGGTTTCAATGAAGAGGAGATGATAAAACCAAATCATGAATATAGATGCTGATTTGATCAAGAAAAGCAACCATATATAGCAGTGAAGAGGAAAACAGGGTGCCAAGGATTTTTTTTTTTTAATTTTAAGATGTTAGATACTTGAGCACATTGGAAGTTACAGGGCAAGAGGCAGTCAAAAAGGAGAGGCTGAAAAGGCATGGCATAATTGATAGGAAAGAGGTAGGGTAGACTAAAAGTAAACACGAGGTACTGACCTTGATCAAGACCCTTCATTTTCTGTGACTGGGGTAGAAGTGGTTAGAATGGGCACAGATAAAATTTTGTTGGTGGGGAAAGAAGAAATATATCGAATAAGACAGGGCTTCCTAATCTGTTTTGGAGGGGAGAGAGAGATGCTCTTGAGCAGATGAGCAGGGGGAGGGGCAGAGGGAGAGAGCATTTTAAGCAGAGCCAAACAAGATGCTCAATCTCATGACCCTGAGATCATGACCTAACCCAAAATTAAGAGATGGATGCTTAATGGACAGAGCCACCCAGACCCACTTCCTCCCCCAATCTTTTTTCACAGCATGGCATACATAGAAAATTATCCTACATGGGGATAAATGGATGAAGCTGTTTGCAGCTGGAAGTGATGGACCTCAAGGCTTATAGCTCTAGGTTGGGATATACTTGGATATGGGATATACAAAAAATACCTGGCAGTACCTTAATTGCTGAAGACATTTAAATATCTCAGTTAATTAGAAGTCTCAAGTTAGGTGGTTCCCAGGTTTGTACAGTGGATCTACAATGTCATCTGAACCGAGGGCCTTTCCATCTTTATTTTATGCTTTCTTGTTTGTTGTTTTTGGTCCTTATGTTTGCTGCCTCATGCCCATATTTTATTTTGTTGGCTAGAACAAGGTCACGTGACCACATCCTAACAGCAGGGAAGTGAAGGGAAGCATCTGGTATTCCCTCATTCTACAGTGGGATGCAGACCAAGAGAGGAGAAGGCAAGAGGCAGATGAGAAGGAAATTGAAGTTGGTCAAGCCAAGGCCCTCAATCCTCTATTACCTTCTTTAGGAAAACCCTCTAAGAGTTTATAGCCAATTATGTCAGCTTTAGGCATCGCTTTGGTAAAATAAGCTAGTTTAGGTCTTCTTACATTTTATGGATTTTATTATTCTTGTTGCTTGCCTTAAGCTCTTATCATCATCATCTCTTTCATCATTAGTAACTTACTCTGTAAGTTTCCAATTTTCAAAGCTCCATTACTCTGTGTTTTGTTTTGACATTCTTAAAATACTGAATGGCATTCTTTTGAGGGAAAATGGATTATGTGTTTGCTTAGAAGTCATTGATCTGCTAGTTTACTAAATTCTAACTAATGTGTTTATGGCCTTCCAATTGCACACATAGGTATAAGCAAAGTGTAGGGGGAGAAAATAAAACAAACAAAAAAAAGAATCTATTTTGAGATATTAACATGTTTGGGGACAAATCCCATCTCCCAGAAAATGTTTCATTTAGTTCAGGAGAAGAAAGGAGTCTCATTTAATTAAATCAGAGTAAAGATGTAAAACACTTAATTAATGAATGGGGGGGAGAAGTAAAGCATGTCTTTATTGAAGCATACTATGCTTTAATTTTCTTTCTAGATGATGGTGTAATATATTTAGAACAAAGAATCAATCTCCTGATGTTTATCATGTGCTTAGGAAAGGAAGTGCTTCTTTATTAAAGAATAAGATTAATGACTTTATGTTACACATTTTATTATTACTGGAAGTTCAGTAGCTTAAAAAGAAACTTTACCTTTCAAAAACATTTTTTTTTTTATTATTAGACAGTCTGTGTTAATGCTGTGCTGGAGAAGATAAAGAAAATTTTCCAAGAAGAAGAAACCATAAGGCAAAACAGAAAAGAGAATGAAAATCTTAGAAAAGCCTTTTCTGACCCTGTGCTTTCTGAGTCTACATTTCCTGAAGGTGAAATCAAAGCAAAACCTTACAGGTCATTACCAGAGAAACCAGACAGTATTTCGGATCGCCCCAAACTTCCTGCTAATAAGTTGAGTAATAAGATCCAAGTTTTACATTCTGTGTTTGACCAATCAGCTGAAATGAATGAATAAGCAAATTGGAACATGAATATTACCAAGTGGAGCTTAAGAATTATCTATCTAACCACATTTCATCTGATAAAACCAGGAAACTAGTTTTCATATATTGAGTGCTCTGCTTTAAGAAAAGGGTTGGAGAACTACTAAAATGTCATTCTCAACTATTTATATGGTAGAGAAAATAAAATGAATCTTGATATAGAAGTATGACAATGGTATTTTAATGAACAAGAAAGTGTACCCCTTGGAGGGTTAGACTTTATGCTATCATTTATAACATGGGTATATTTATATTATAATTATATTTTATTAAAGACCTGTTTTAAGTATCTTTCCAATTACAGTTGGCCCTTGAACATGGGTTTGAACTGTGCAGATCCACTTATATGCAGATATTTTTTGATAAATATATTATAGTAAATGTATATTCTCTTATGATTTTCTTAACACTTTCTGTAGCTTACCTTAAGAATACATTATATAATACATAGGACATTAAAAATATGTGTTAATCAAGTGTGTATGTGATCAGTCAGGCTTCCAGTCAATAGTAGACTATTAGTAGTTAAGTTCTGGGGGAGTTCAAAGTTAAATGTGGATTTTCAACTGTGCATGGGGTTGGTACTCCAAACCTCTGCATTGTTCAGGGGTCAACTGTATTCATCTGGAGGAAAAATACCCTACATATCAAAATGCTACATCTTTTTCAGAGATCACAAAAGGATATTTATTTTCTATTTATAGGCTGTATAGTTTGAATCTGCCTATTATCGATCCTTTTATAGCTCATCTATAAAGTTACAGAGAACTTATGATTCACAGATATAATATATTTATAAAACAAAATATTACTTACAAATCTTACAGAAGATTTCTATATGTGAGGATAGGATAGGACATGACATTTTTTATTTCCAGATTTGGAGGAACATATTTAGAACCAGAAATTAAGTCCGTATTACTCATTGTTGCCACTGGGTCATGAAAGAAAAACGCTTCTGTAACTGGCCCTGCAAATGAGGGTCACTGTTTGGCCTGCAGGAAGCACTTTGGTTTCTTCCATGTCTTAAATTCTGGACATGCGTTAAGACCTGACTGGTCATTGGAGGATTAGCACCTGATATAATAGGCTAGGATATACCATCAAGTGATGGTACATTTCCTGTGCCTGGTAAACAGGCATAAAAGGACTTATAAAAAGCCCAACCCTGGCTTTTTAATGGTCTGAAAAATGAGTGACAAGGGTTGTATTACCTCATATTACCCATATTCCATCAGAAAAAGAAATGTGATACTATGTAGCAAAGGGCTCTGTAAGCACACCCTTAATGATAGGTACTTAATTCACTTACTATTTTTACCATACCAAGGGAAAGAGTCCAGGTGGCCCCCCTACAATGTTCAGTATTAGGTTTGAAGCCGTAATTCAATCCTACGCCACTAAGAAAATTACTGTGCTTAGAGACAAGATTCCAATTTTGACAAACAGCTTTTCACACTCTGAATTCATAATGTGATCATCCTGGTTCTGATTCTACTTATTCTTATATTCTACTATTTGCTGCTGAGTTTTAGATGATAAACACCCAGAGTACTACACCACAGCGTGGGCACCAGGCAACCAGAATACTGCTAGCCATAAATAACTGGTATGTGAAAGCAGGGTGGACCAACTGAATGTCAGCCCTGTCCGGGAACTCAGCAGCAGGGACTCTGAGGAACAACACCCTCTATCTCTTCTAACATTTACATGAAGCACTTAGTTCTAAATACATCACAAAATTATCAAAAACAAAGCAAAAACAAAACTTCTATTTGAAGATTTTATATAGGACATTCAAAGTACTTTGGCTTACTGAATAAGAGACTTCACATCTCTCATGGCTGGGCAGCAGCTGTGTGTGTCTTCTTTACTTTGAGAGTGTTTGCTTTGACCAGAGAGAAACTGAGCCAAGATCTGTTTGGTTTCAATGTGCAGTACATGGGGATGAAAGAGTGCACTAGTGGTGAGCACCGGGTGTTGTATGAAGTGTTGAATATGTTTCTTATTTCTAAATTAAGCATGTAAATTGATCCCATTTTGAAGGCATTTTTGAAATGTAAAAAGTCTGCTATATATTTGGAAAAATCAAATAGTTGAGATTTAAGCATTTCAATGTATTTAAATTTTACTTCAAAAAGGTAAGAATAACAACCAAATAGGGGAGGTAGAGAGTGTGTTGAGGTATCAGTGAAACAAGAATACAAGAATAGAGGAATAGAAGAATGATAATACTGAAGTTGGGTGATGAGAGTTTATTATGCTACTCTGTTTAGTTTGTATATATTACAACTTTTCCATGATAAAGTCTGCTACATCAAAATAGGAATTACCAACCCTCCATATTTATTAGATCTTACTTTTTACCTTTTCTTCATTGTGGTTACCGCAGATTATTTTCACCCTTCTCAAAATGCATATTCCAAACCTAGAACCTTCAGGTACTAATCAGTTCAGAGGACTGGATGAAAGGTGTTCTATAGATCCTGACAATATTCTCTCCATCATAATAAGCACATGTACTTTTGAACTGCTCAGATTTATATGATTTTTAAAGATTAGTAATAAATGTGCCCATGTTGGAAAAATTAATCCTCTTTGGTATTGCAGCACAGTTCTTCTAAAAAATATTTTTTAAATATACACAACATTTTTCATTGCCATATAGTTTTATCTGAAAGGACTCCGAATTACTTTAAAGTCTCCAGTGGCATAAAAATCAGAGTCACACTTAAAAGGTTCATTAGAAAGAGTCACATAAATACTCCCATTGTCCACTGTCACTTTATGAATCCTTTGCTTTACTCCTTTGGAGCACCACTTGGGTTTTGCTGATGGATCTCTAGGGTTGATAGACTGATACAGTCCTTCTCCTGTTGCCAAAGTAATTTTGTATTTATGCCAGGGACAAACTATACATGGTCGTCCATCAAAATCCTGGGGAAGGAAATAAATAAATGATTTAATAGCCTGACATTTCCAACATTCACAATAAATCTCCAACTCAGCATAAGATCTACTGCAGAAAAAACAGGTTAAAGAACAGGCCACCCTCTCTTCTTTCCCTTCCATTTACAAATTATTCTGCATAATGCAAAACCTAATCTCAGCAGTCATCAAGTCCCTTTTGCATTTGATTAGAAACCTAGTATATTAGAACCCTATCTGACACACTCTAGCATATCAGAACTCTATGAGCTCAAGCAACTCTACCATGTGACTGAAGCTATGATGTTATCTATTAGATGTTAAAATGTCATTTCCTTAACAGAAATGGGGCAAGGGCATTAAGTGCTTCTAAAGGAATTTTCACTAGCTGCTGGAAGAATGGTAAGCTTCAGATATAAATTTGAGAGGTTACTAAAGGCCTGAGTGTATATGTTGACTGAAGAGCAATTTGTGATCCAAAGTAGTCAATTCTCAACTTTTTAACTGTCTTGAATCAGTGCTTCTCAAATTTTAAAGAGCATGGGAATCACCTGGATCTTGTCTAAATGCAGATCCTGTTAAAAAAAATTCAGTAGTCCTAGGATAGGGTGCAAGATTCTGTAGCTCCAAGAAGCTCCCAAGTGACACCAAGGTTGCTGGTTTATGGAACAAACTTTAAGTAGCAAAGTCTTAAGGGTCTTGTTATGGTCTAAAACGGAAGGATTTTATTTCACATTATCACTACCAGATGCTTACATTTGTTTCTCTATACAAGGAGTTCAGTAATACTGATATTGTGTCCCCAAAACAGTCAACAAGCATTCATATTTTCATAATTCATAAATTCATGTTCATGATTTAAACACACATGTCCTTCTAACATAAGAATAGGTGTAGAAGTAAGTAGATATGAAGTATAGAGTGGAATGCCAAGTTTCAGCTTGTATTTTGTACGAGTGGGAGGTGGCGGGAAGGGGAAGGATGGAGAGAGATCAATTTTATGAAGTAGAAAATAAGAAGTTATGCAGCCAGCGAGTTTGGGAATGCAAGAAAGTAAGACAGTTTCCCCATTCCTTCCTCAGATAAGCCTTCAGTGTGTGGTTTCCTTTTAAAAATATACATATTTATATTTTTACATTGTACAGGTAATACATACTGAAAAATTCAAACTGTGTAGAAGTGTATAAAGTGCAAAGTGACTATTACCTTTTATTTAAAAAATGGAATCACACTAGACCCTTCATTCTAGGACTTGCTTTTTTCACTCAAAAATATACTGCTGACATCCCTTCATACCAATACATACAGATCTATCTCATAAGTTAATGAGGCAGTGGTTGCATTGTTTTCCATAGCACGGCTATTCATAGTTTGTTTAAACTGTGTCCTATTGTTAAAACATTTAGGTTGCCTTCAATTTCTCATTACAACAAATAATGCCACAGTAAAATTCTCCCATATATATACTTAAACATTTGTGGAATGATATCTGTAGGTAGATATCTCAGAGTATAATTGCTAGGTCCCCTATTTATCTGTGAAATAGTTTACATTGTAGGACTATGAATTCCTGGAATATTGGCAATTATACTTAAAGCATTAAAATAACAGTTCAAATGTAGAAATAAATTATTTTTTGCATGCAGCATGAAATGAATATAAATAAGAAACATGAGTTTGTAGAGGATAGATTTAACTTTACATACCTCTATTTCTCCCAAATGTAAAGGACCTCCTGAGTCTGAAAAGAAATTGAATATTACATCTAGTCACTAAAAAAAAAAAAAAAAAAAAAAGCCTGAAATTTTGATAGTTTTGTGGTTAGGAAACAAATACAAGGTTTACAAATGAAAAATAAACTCTTACGGTAACAGCGAATATCCATAGCATGATATTCTCCTTTGTGGTAGAAAATGACTACTTCTCTGTCATGGACAACAGCTGTCATTCTTTCAGATTTTTTAATGTCCTCTTCTCTGCCAACATAGACAGGAGAATGTTCCTTCACTTCAGGATCTTGTTCAGAGCCATCAAGATCCATGCTAACTGAACTAAAAAAAAAAAAAAAAAAAAAAAGCAATCTTCACAAGTTTGGCTACAACTTACCTTAACCATATTATAAGAAATGTTTAATTCCTTTAAGACTGATGGAGGCTTTTTAAAATAGCTATATAAAAATAAAACATTCACAAATACTGGGTAATAGTCATGATTTTGAGGTAGAGATGCATAAAGTTTCCCAAAATTAGGGAGTAGTCTCCACTTTGAGGCTGGACTCATATTGGATTCATTTCAACGTGTTAGATGGGTATTTCAGAAGTCCCAAGACCCAGAGCTTGACGTTTCACTGTTCTTTTATTATCATTTCAATGCTAAACAATACCCAATTATCAGTGTTGTTTTCAGCCTTCCCCTAAAGGTAGGATTCTTTGATAGTCTGAATAGTCTTAGATCTCTTGGTTGAAGTGACTTACTTGATTTCTCCTGGAGTAGACAGCCAGTCTTAAAAATCAACCAGAAAACTATTCTAGCACGAGGAGATAGGTATGAATGGGCACATTGCATTTTCTTAACTCAAAAATTGACATTACTTTTCTTCTGCCTTATTTGGGAATTCAAAGAGACGAATTTCTCATCAATTGATTTATATAAGTATATAAACCTGTATTTCTAAACAAAGAAATTTTAGTAGAGAATTTTCAGGTACTCTATATATTTTCTCTCAGCACAGATATTCAGGCTACTTTTTTGAAAGCAACCCTTTCAAAGGGACCTTTAAGAATATAGTCATAGTCTGTTAATTCTAGGTGAGAAAGACAAATCAAGATATATCAGCGTCAGGACTGTCTTTGCAGAAGATTTTCCAGAGGGCCTCCCATATCAGGGTATTTAAGTTTTATTCTATGACTGTTTCTGAATAAAACTAAACTACATATCCTGTTTTGCCAAGAATTGCTATATTTTTTCTTCATCCACTCCTAACCCCAAATCTTTTTTCTTACCCCACCCTCTTTCCATTAGAGTTGTTATCCCAAATTTTCTGGAAACATTCCTGTTTTTCCTCCCTATCTCAGGATAGAGATTGTGGTGGTCTTTGATTTTCACAAAGTGTAAAGAACCACGTATGACATTATCTCAGGGATGACAAAGAACTTTCTTCCCTAGGCAAGAACATATTTTGAATTTTTGCAGGTAATGAAATAAAAATCACAACACACAAACTGAGACCACTCTAGGTACTTTACTTTTTACTTCTTAAATAATTACATTTTTGGATATCCTTGCATGGTTTCTGCCCTCTGCTGGAGAATGGGAATCTTCAACCATCTGGACAACATCCAGCTCCACAAACTGGCATAAAGCAGGCTTACTCCCCGAAGTTGGTGAACAGGAAAGAGGCTGCTTACAGCATTCAGGCATGAGATTTTATATGTACCTCGACCATTATCTTGGAGCAAGGCTACTTCAACCCCTTTATTATATGAAAGAAATTAAAAGTTCATGGTAACATCTAATCACAATCTACTCTTTTCTTTGGGTCACTGATGGGCAAGTTTCTGTGTAATCTGTTTAGGGAGGAATATATGTCTGAAAAAGCAAGCAAGCACAATTCTCAAGAACTGATTATTGACAATAATCTTTAGCACAGAATTACAATACTTCAAAAGGAAAATTTCAACAGTGGATCTTGAGATTCTCCTTTTGCAAAGTTTTCTTTCCTTGTCAGAGATTATCATTCATTTGATAAATATTTTCTGAACACACATACTGTGTGACCGGTACTGTAGATACTATATTTTAGTTGGTGAGATCAACAACAAACACCAGTTAACAAATACACGAATGAGATAATTGCACACTACTGTAACAGCCATGAAGAAAATAAAGTGGGTAATATGAGAGAGAAAGAGGAGGCCATTTTGCAAATAGGCTGGGAAGGTGACTCTGAATAATAATAGTTGAGCTGGAATCTGAAAAATGCAAATGAACTAGATATTTTAAGAGCTGAAGGAAGAGCATTCTAGGCTGAAGGAACAACAAATATGAAAGCCTGGGGAAAGCAGGGTGGAGGGAGGAGGCTTGGTTAATTTGAGGAACAGATAGGAGACTGGAGCAGAGTGAATGAGCTTGGTGAGACAGACAGGAGCCAGGTCGTGCAGCACTGTGTGTGAATTTTATTCTAAGAGCAATGGGAAGCCACTGCAGGGTGTGAAGCTGGGAAGGGTGACATGATCTATTTTTAAAAGAATGCTCTGGCTGTGTGGAGAATAGATTGTATCAAAACAAGAGGAAGCACAGAAAAAAAAAAAAAAAAAAGCTATTGCAGTGGTCCATGGGAGAGAATATGGTGGTTTGGACTAGGGTGTTGACTCTGTTGGGGGAGAAAAAGTAATTAACAACAACAACAACAATAGCAGTAGCTACAATCACACTATGCTAACTCCATGCCAGGCATTGTTTAGAGACTTTACATTTATTTAAGTCATTTAATCTCCCAGCATATTACTACAAAAAATATTATTTTAATTGTACAGTGAGTAAATTGGTCCAGAGAGGTTGGGCTCATGGACTAGAATAAAGGAATTACAGAAAAATAAGAGTGGCTCCTAGGTTTTAGTTTTGTGCAACCAGGAGGTTGTGACAGTGATAGGAAAGCCCAAAAAAGGAATGGTATTTTCAGAAATGGAAAATCAAGAATCAGCTACATTTTACACATAGTTTGGGGTACCTAAGAGACATCCAGATAGTGATATCAAGACTACAGTCAGATATATGAAACTAGAGCTGAGAATCACTAGCGAGATAAATTTGGGAGTTGTCAAGTTACGGAATTCAATGGAATCACTTGGAGAGGGAATGTAGACAGGTCTGATACAATTCTTGAGGCACACCAACATTTAGAGGTCAGGTGGAAGAGAAGCAAGACCAGTAGAGTGTCCAATCTATTGCTAATTGAATGAAATTCATTCACTGCCCACTTCCCTATCCTACATTCTCCTCAAATGGTAAGTTGTAAGCCAGCAAATAAGGGCAGGAAATGAGGTAAGGTCCATTTGAATGCTGGCCACCTCTTTTATGTATTACAAAATGAATAATACATGAACAAAATGTGGACTTCCTAGCAAACTGTACCCAAAAATAGGTTCTTTCATGAAGAGTTGGACCTACACTATACCCCTTTCTCCTTGTAATTTCATTTATTCCCTTAACCTCCCACTCTCCTAGAAATCAAATACTGGTTAACATCCAAGTAATGGTTTATATCCAGAATTATTATTATTACTCTTTTCCCAGAATGTTTAAACTTTGCCTCCTATCAGACCCTTAAATACTCTTTTGGTCAAAAATAGAAAGGGAAGGGTGAGAAAAATAAAATCTAAGAAATATTTCAATATTGTTCATTGAGACTGGCTCAGGGGTCAACTCTGTATAGGTCTGATCCAGTATTTTTCTTTTTTAAAGATTTTATTTGTTTTATAGAGAGATAGAAAGAACAGGAGTGGTGGGGAGAGGGGGAGAAAGAGAGAGAGAATCTCAAGCAGACTCCCCACTGAGCATGGAGTCCGAAGTGGGGCTCAATCTCAGGACCCTGAGATTATGACATGAGCTGAAATCAAAAATCAGACGCTTAACCAACTGAGCCACCCAGGTACCCCTGATCCAGTCCTTGAATCAAAATAATAATTTATATACATCACTGTATAACATTTAAGAGCCATTATTTGACTTTCAAAATTAAGCACACAGCCTTAAAAATGGCATATATGTTCATTTTTAATCCAAAACAACTCTTCTGTCATAAAGTCTCAACACATGTTTATGTTGACACAAGCCTTCCAAAACAAAATGTAACAACCATTCTAAAGGTTGTGGCAAGGCTAGGTTTTACTCAACATTTTCAATTTCAGTTCCATTTTAACAATTTCATTATTTTATGTATTTCACCAGATTGAAAAACTAGAGAAAGTTCCAGATAATTTGAGAAGTATCCAACTCTGCTTTATATAAGATAAAGAATTACACATAGAAAAGGAAAAGGAGAAGAAAAAAAAAAAAAGGAAGTGAATCAAAGTGATGGTCCATGTTAGTTGTAGAGACCCAGATGGTGTTAAATATTAGGAAGGTTGCCATGGAATGCTCATATTAAACAGAACACAACTGCCTATAATTTAAGGTGTTTAACAAAATTATAAATCCCATGTCAACCTCAAATATTCTAATTTTAGAAAGATGACCCTTCCAAATCCACATCCTCTTCACATACAGTAATATTGTCATATTCATAGGATATTGTACAGAATGATGTACCTTTCCTTGGTAACCGGAAAGTGCCATTTTGATTTCATTCAAGTCTTAGTTTAACATTTAACATACAAACACATATAGGCAACTTCTTTAAGAAGGGCACTTGGGGGCAGCCTGGGTGGCTCAGCGGTTTAGCACTGCCTTCAGCCCAGGGCATGATCTTGAAGACCCGGGATCAGGTCCCACGTCAGGCTCCCTGCATGGGGCCTGCTTCTCCCTCTGCCTGTGTCTCTGCCTCTCTCTGTGTGTTTCTTGTAGATAAGTAAATTAAATCTTAAAAAAAAAAAAAAAAAAAAAGGAGGGCACCTGGATCTTGATAAATGGTCATAAATTATAAACCCCATCCCCCACCCCCAGAGGGAAAATTTGTTACAGGGCAGCACCAAGAGTCTCCCACCCTTCTGATGGCTCCTCTAAATACTTATTTAATCTTGTATGACTGTTTGGAAGTCTAGGAATGTTGGGAGGAAAAGAGCACGGGTCATTTGAAAAGTAAGTTTGTAAAACAGAAGTTACGATTTAGAATTAAATATCTCTAGGTGAATGTGTTAGGAGCGAGCTTTAGAAAGAAGGAATTTATAAGCTACTGTTTTGAGAAGGGTAATTCTGAGCCATAAGGAAGAAAGATACTAGATATTACGTAAATCGAGGTGTCGTTAAGTGGAATGTGTGTGTGTGCATGTGTGTTGGTGGGGAGAGGCAGGAAGGAACTTTGAATTCAAAGTATAAAGGAAAGCATTACAGGAATCAGGCTTAGGAAATTACAGAGATGTCAAATTTGTACTCTGAAGTTTACACTGTTAACTCTTACTCCAACTAACCTAGTTACTTTTTAAGTAATGGAAAAAAGAACATATGCTATTTTGAAAAACTATTTCACAATAAGGAAGTCAAACTGAGACAAAAAAAAAAAACATGTGATTTCATTCGAATGAATAAACAAAGAAACAAAAAGTAGAATCTGACCTATAAATACAGAGAACTGATGGTTGCCAGAGGGAAGGGGATAGGGGGAAATAGCAAATCAGAACAAGGAGTGGGAGGAAAGGCTTCCAGTTAAGGCATGAGTAAGTCATGAGAATAAAAGGCACAGCACAGGGAATACAGTCAGTAATACTGTGATAGTCTTATATGGTAACAGATGGTAGCTACACTTGTGTTGAGCATAGTATATCATATAGAGAAGGTGAATCACTATGTTGTACATCTGAAACTAGTGTAATATTGTGTGGCAACTATACTCCAAAAAGTTAATATTTCACAATAAAAAGCGAAAATACAGTATTTTTAAGAAAAGCCAATGAGGGCCATGCCATGATTTTCTGGATTAGCTATGCTATAGCTGACAGAAGGCTGGATTACTACAACTCTCAGTTATCTTGTTTTGCTTGGTATTGGCAAGTACCCAAAGTATACACATTGCTCAGGTGGTAGTATTTACTTCCACAGTATCCAGCGTGCAGGCTTTATCAGATTTTGTGACAGGACAGACAGAGGGGCAGTAAGATTAAAAAAAAAAAAAAAAAAAAAACAACTAAGAACAGATGAACCAAACTAGACTGAAGAAAAAATACAGAACTTGCAACACATATAACCAACAAAGGATTAAGATTCAGAATACATGAAGAACTTCTATAAACCAGTAAGAAAGTGCAAAAAAAAATATAGAAAAATGGGTAAAGACACAAACATTTCATAGATGAAGAAGTCTGCATGGCCAGTGAGCACATGTAAAGATGCTCAACCTCATCGATCAATAGGAAAAAATAAAAGAAAGGGAAAGGATAGTGACAAATGGGATACGATTTTCTATCCAATCAATTGGCAAAAATTACACCAGGTTGGTGAGGATATGGAAAAACTGATGGTAATGACATCAGTTAGCAATAGCACAGTTTGGCATTATTTAGTAAACTTGAACATATCTGTGACCCATTAATCCCCCTTTCAGTATATTTCAGAGAAACATGCACAGGTACACCAGGAAACAAGCACAAGACAGGAAAAAAACTCATAACACATCAACCATAGAATGGAGAATTTTTGTTCATGAAATGGAATGCTGAGTAGCAGTGAAAAATGGGTACATCAACTATTAATTTCAAAATATAACATTTAAAAATTATTTATTTATTCATGAGACACACAGAGAGAGAGGCAGAGACACAGGCGGAGGGAGAAGCAGGCTCCATGCCGGAAGCCCAACGTGGGACTTGATCCTGGGTCTCCAGGATCACACCCTGGGCCGAAGGTGGCGCTAAACCACTGAGCCATCCGGGATGCCCCAAAATATAACTTTGAAGAAAAAAATTTGTTTCAAGAATTCAGAATATGCTTATATTTTTACCAAATGCAAAAACAGGTAAAACAAAAAAAATGTATTATTAATGGGTACATGAAGATAGGGTAAATTTATTAAGAAAAGCAAAGGGATAGTAAACAAAATTTCTTAAATGTCTCAAAATATTACACTTAGTCTTATATTTAAAATTACTCTTCTAACATATAAGTTGTATCCTACTTTATATTTCTGTACCAAATGATCCAAAAACCAAGAAAAGGGATAAAGTGGCACTTTCTATCCTCAGAAAATGCGCCTGTGCATACAGATCACGAATGGACTGTTTGAGAATTTTGTTCGGCTTATTTAAACACTCAGCACTAGAAGAGGAATTAAAGGAATATTTACTTTTCTTTTTCCAGGCAAAAAATTAGAAATGAAATACTAGTATCAAGACATTAACAAAATACATGAGATGTAGAGTAGCATCAAACGTTAATTAAGTTCTCTGACTTCCAAATAAATGTGAATGAAATACAATGCTTCCTCAAGTTTCAGTCTCTTGAAACATAGAGTTTTAGGCGGGTTTGCACCCCAACCAAGGAAAACTGCAGTGAACTTTGCAGGACCTGATAAGAAATGTGCAGAGAACTCTGGGCTCAACGATAAAGGTTTCAGAGAACTATGATTACAGTCTTGCATTTTGCTTAGGAAAGTATTATCGTATCTCTCAAATAATGGTCATATTTACTTATGGTATCTGGTAATATTTATAATTAACACCCACATTATTCTCATTATTCTTAACTAAATATTGTGACTATCACGGTCCATTCAAACTATCACAAGAGTCCATGTGTTCACCTTAATTACTATGACTTTGATGCACTATTCATATGCTCCCACACATTTCTTCTATTTTAAGTAGACTTTAAGATAGCAGGATCTTAACTAAACAAAAAGAAAGTGAAAAATTAACTGGTCTATGCAGTTTGGGGGCCAGATGAAAAGTTACTTCTGAAAAATTTGGTCATTTTGTTCCACTTTCTTCTTATCTGTGTTTTTGGCTGGTACCTCAAATAGGTTTCTAAAGGCACTAACACCATATAAAATTACCGACAGGCTATATGGATCATCAGTCTCTATCAGATGATCTCTATCATTTCCAGCATAGGTTGACTTTAAAAATCTAGTAAGTTTCCCTGAGATAATGTAGACAAAAGAGACATGAAATTAAAGGAACTTACTTGTTACTCCTCTGGAGCTCTGACAGAGGTGCTTTTACTAAGTCTGGGGACTTGATCTGCACGTTATCAGAATGCAGGACTCCAGGGTAACACCCTTGCTTTTCGGTTCAGAGAAGAGAAATGCCTCAGATAGCAGCTTGGTTCTCTCTTTGGAGGCAGAATAATAAAGCCAGTTATCCCTCCGTGAGTGCCAACTTCTTTGACTGCAAACCTGAGTTCATTAATCCTCACGAAACCTCTAAGGGGGAAATAGTGTGTCTATTTTCCAGATAAGGACACTGACAGTAAAGGATCCTCTTTAACCTTAGGAAAGGTTTCCTAAGACCACAAAGTAGCAGTCAAGATTCAAACTTCTACCTTCTGAGTCTAAACTCAGTGAGCACTGGTAATATAAATCTTAACATTGCATCTAACAGCATCCACGAGTTTATAACAAACATGTGGCCTGCAAGTAAACGGTCCTAAAAGGCACAAAACCTTTCAGCAAAATAGAGATCTGTGCATGTATGTATATATGTATAAATGTGTGTATGTGTATCACCAAACATGGTTCTGAATTTTTTTTTTAATTTAGGAATGTTAATGTTCAAGAGTTGCGTCAACAGAGGTTTAAAACTGGACAGTTCCCTAATCATTTAATGAAGTCGCCTGGCTGCTCTGGGATCCGCTACCATCGTCCCTACCAGAGAGATCCTCGATCACCAGGTGAGCTCATCCGGGTTTGAACCCCGGCTGTGTGTGATTTGGGGCACGTCGCTGAATTTCGCTGTGCTGCAGTTTGCACAGCTGTACGAAAGGCCTGCCACATAAGGTTGTGCTGAGAAGTGAATGCTTCACTCTCAAGTGCTTCGGAGCGGGTCCCGCCCGCGGGAAGCGCTCCAATCATGTTGGCTGTCCTCGCTAAGGTCCTTCCAGCTCTGACAGGCACCAACACCCGAGTTCAAGCTGTATTTAACATTTTAGTCAAGACGGAGAGGCCTCAGGAACCAGTCCCGGAGCAGGTTCAGCGTGCACAGATGCTGGGGCTGCAGAAACCCCGGGGCGGGTTCAGCGTGCACAAAGGCCGGGGCTGCACAAACCCCGGAGCGGGTTCAGCGTGCACGGACGCCGGGGCTGCACAAACCCCGGGGCAGGTTCAGCGTGCACGGACGCCGGGGCTGCACAAACCCCGGGGCAGGTTTAGGGTGCACGGACGCCGGGGCTGCACAAACCCCGGGGCAGGTTCAGCGTGCACGGACGCCGGGGCTGCACAAACCCCGGGGCGGGTTCAGCGTGCACGGACGCCGGGGCTGCACAAACCCCGGGGCGGGTTCAGCGTGCACGGACGCCGGGGCTGCACAAACCCCGGGGCGGGTTCAGCGTGCACGGAGGCCGGGGCTGCACAAACCCCGGGGCAGGTTCAGGGTGCACGGAGGCCGGGGCTGCACAAACCCCGGGGCAGGTTCAGGGTGCACGGACGCCGGGGCTGCACAAACCCCGGGGCAGGTTTAGGGTGCACAGACGCCGGGGCTGCGCAAACCCCGGGGCGAGGTCAGCGTGCAGACGCCGGGGAAGCTAGTGGAAAACGCCCCGCCTGCCCCATCCGGGGGGCGGGCCCCGCACGCTAAGGGGAACAAGCTCGGCGGGCCTCGCCGTGACTGCGCGGAAGCCCGGCCGGAGGCTAACGGCTAACGAACGCAAGCCCTTGCGGAGAAGGGCCGCCAGCAAGGCCAACAACACCCTGGCCTCGGGCCGCGCCGCCGCCGGAAGCCCGGGCTCAGGCCCGCCACCCAGCCGGAAGTAGTGCCTCTCGCGAGCCCCGCCCTAGCCGCCGCGAGAACGCAACTCACCTTCCCGGAGCTCCGCGCTCCGCCTCCGCAGGGCCGGCCGGTCGCCCAGGCCCCGTGACGCTACTGCGCAAGCCGGGACTGCGGCCGCGGCGCGGGGCCTGGGGGGCGGGGCGAAGTCGCCCACGTGACCCGCGGTCCCCGCCCCACGTGACGCCCGCGCCCCGCCGGGACCTCGGGGCTGACGGTAGTAGAAGAGTGTTTGCGAAAGTAGGTGGCTTCTGCTTGTTTCTGGGTGTTGGTCGATCTCGCTGCGTTTATCCACGTTTTATTTTATTTGCTTACTTAAACAGTCGCTCCCCCCCAGCGCGGGGCTGGAGACCGAGAGTCGCGGGCTCTTTCTAGTGTGCCAGCCCGGCGCCCCATGTGCACATTTTTTTTTTTTAAAGATTTTATTCATTTATTCAGGAGAGACACAGAGAGAGGCAGAGACACAGGCAGAAGGAGAAGCAGGCTCCATGCAGGGAGCCCCTCGTGGGACTCGATCAACCGCCGAGCCACCCAGGCGCCCCCCACACCTTTCAAGTGCTCCCGCTCTCAGGAATTGACCTAATAAAAATATTTACAGAAATTCCTCACGGTGCAAATAATCCGTGCATAAGGATGCTTATTGCAGGGAACGAATAAGAATAGCTGAAGTCCTCAGCAAGAAGGGAATGAATGATGGTTCAATAAAATACAGTGTAGACATGTGAATTATTTTGTAGCCGTTTACTCACGACCAGATTCCATGAAAGCGGTGAGTGAAAGGAAGGCACGCAATACACAATTCTTCAGTGAAAGTAAACATGATCTCTCAAGATACAAATAGATACGTCTGTACATGAGCTTTTTATTTAAAAAAAAAGTCTTTTTAAAAACTTAGTGGTGCTTGCATTGGAGTTGGTGGTTGGTTTTCACTTCACTATTTTGACCGTTGCAACTTTTTCCTCCTTATACTTTCTGAGTTAAAAAACAAAAACCTCCCCACTTCCTCCTTGTGTTCAAGGCTGCAAGCTAGTTGAGTCCAGAATGTTGTGTTTTTTTTGTTGTTGTTTTGTTTTTTTGAGATTTTATAGAGGCAGAGACACAGGCAGAGGGAGAAGCCCGACGTGGGACTCGATCCCGGGTCTCCAGGGTCACGTCCTGGGCTGAAGGCGGCGCTAAACTGCTGAGCCACCCGGGCTGCTCAAGTCCAGAGTGTTTTTTAAAGTGTCCCTGGCTGTTTTCTGACGCTGTACTTGGTAATTCCAGCTATGCCTTAGAATCACCTGGGAGTTTTAGGCAGTCATGATGCCCAGACCAGTGACACCTGGGGGACGGAGGGCAAGAGGGGTCAGTTTTTCTGACTTCCCAAGTGACTCCAATGTGAACTCAAGGTTGAAAACCACAACCTATATTTAATATCCTGAGTACTGATCTCAGATCCTAGAGTGGTCCAGTGGGTCTCAGGCGGTTGAAACCCAGGGGCCTTGTTCATTTATCTCAGCGCGCCATGCAAATACCATTTTTCCTATGAGCCTCAACATATAAGAGTTTTAGAAACCTAGAATGATGGATCTGCCTCCAATGCTTGTTTCTTTTGATTTTTGTTCAGTTCAGTATACTTTTAGGGTGATAATATTTTATGCGATAATTCCCCTTTTGACCATTTATTTCACTGATCCAAACAAAAACTAACCATCTAGTTTTGATGAACTGCTTTACCAAAGTGATAAAATATGATTAAATATATTTGAATTTATTATAATTTATATTAATCAGTTAGCCATCTAAATTATTATTTTTTTTAAATTTTTATTTATTTATTTATGACAGTCACACAGAATGAGAGAGAGGGAGAGAGAGAGGCAGAGACACAGGCAGAGGGAGAAGCAGGCTCCATGCTGGGAGCCTGACGTGGGATTCGATCCCGGGTCTCCAGGATGGCGCCCTGGGCCAAAGGCAGGCGCCAAACCGCTGCGCCACCCAGGGATCCCCCATCTAAATTATTTTAAGGCACACAGGGTATTAGCAGTCTTTAGCTTGTGTCCTGGAAGGACTAAATTTGCGGTTTCTTTTTTTCTTTTTTTTTTTTTTAAGATTTTATTTATTCGTGAGGGACAGAGAGAGAGAGGCAGAGACACAGGCAGAGGGAGAAGGAGGCTCCATGCAGGGAGCCTGACACAGGACTCAATCCTGGGACCCCAGGATCACGCTCTGGGCTGAAGGCAGGTGCCAACCCGCTGAGCCACTCAGGGATCCCAAGTTTGCTGTTTCTAATGAAAAGTCTTGCCTTGACATAATCTGGACATTAAAATAAGACACATCTTAGATTCATTGAGCCACTCAGGGATCCCAAGTTTGCTGTTTCTAATGAAAAGTCTTGCCTTGACATAATCTGGGCATTAAAATAAGACACATCTTTGATTCATTGACCTTAAATCTGATTTCTAATAAACTGAAGACCTCAGTTACGCATCCATATATACAAAGGAGGGAGAGAGAGAAATGGAAACTCTTTTATCTCTACCTAGAGTATCAGTGGAATTAATCATGTAATAATATGGAATGCCTGGAAAACTACTGGGAATGGGGGGACACTTTCTATCTTCTCTCTCCTTGGACCCAATCTACATCTTCCTCTAGAACCTTACTCCAGTTGTTCTTTTGTCTTTTCTTTCCTACTGTTGACACCTAGTGGTAGCCCTGGCATGCATTTTCTTACCTACTGTGGAAAATAACTTTTCTTCTGTGAACTTGCTCTTCAGTGCCTTTGTCTAAAAATAGTTTTAAATGTCCCTTCTCACCTTTGTGAGCTTCTCTCCTGTGCTCTGAGCATCAGGCTGTTTCTAGGCAGGCGTTTTTGGAACCAAGCCCTTCCTCTTAGAGAAGTTCAAAACCTGCTTTCAATTCTAAACAATAATCTGTTTTGTGAGCTAATGAAGATGTTGGTGTGCTGATAGTTTCACTACAGTGAGGTTTGAAGAGTATCAGCCACTCTGGATTTCCTATTCTTTTAAACAAGAAAAGGGCGATCACATTGCCCTTATTAGACTATTGGGATTCAGATAATGAGAAAGTGAAGGTGGCTTTAAATACAAACTATTTTCTTATGACTCCTATCTGAAAGTCTCCACAGTATTCATTTGTTGTGGATTACCCGTGTGACATTCTTACTTGGATACCATGAGAGAAACAGTAGTGTTCACTAAACATCCCTACTATCCCACATTTCCCACCCCATTTACAATTGGTGAGGCTATGTGACTACTTGTGGCCAATGGGTAGTGAGTGAATATGCAGTGTGTCACTCTTAGATTGAAGCATAGAAGAGCTCCTATTCCACCTCCCTGGTCTCCCTCTCTCTTTTTTATTTTTTTATTTTTGGTCATGAGCACAGGCATCCTAGATTGTGGACCTCTACTAGCCTGGGTCCCTGAGTGACCATGTGGAACAGAGACCACCCACCAACCCTCAGTCACTACCTTCCAGGAGGCCATGAAAGATATGTAACTGAAGTGAGAAATAAACAGTTGTTGTGTTAAGCCAGCAAAGTTCTAAGGTTGTTTATGATTATACTAAAGCATAACTTAACCTGATATCTCTTTGCTATCTTCAGTTTTATGTGTTCAAGATTGAAATATTAATTTTCTCCTGTAAACCTGTACTTCCTTTGTTCCCTCTATCTCTATAAGTGACAGCCCTGTTCATCTACATGCTTAAGGTAGAAACCTAGATGCCATACTCACATCTCCCCTTTTCTCACTCCTCCAGTGCGGAAAAGAATTGGCATAGCACCTAAGACTGCTATCCTTGGAAAGCTCTGCTTGTAAGGCTGGCTCCTGGCTGGTGTCTGCAAATTTGACTGGCAAATAGTTCCCTATATTGATAAAAGATTTTCCCTAAATAATAAGGATGTCTCACTGTGACTAAACTGTCCATACATAAATAAAATCTAAAAATCAAAAAAAACCAAAAAAACAACAACAACAACAAAAAAAAAAAAGGCAGCCTGGGTGGCTCAGCAGTTTAGCGCTGCCTTCAGCCCAGGGCATGATCCTGGAGACCTGGGATCGAGTCCCGTGTCAGGCTCCCTGCACGGAGTCTGCTTTTCCCTCTGCCTGTGTCTCTGCCTCTCTCTTTCTCTCTCTCTCTCTGTGTGTCTCTCATGAATAAATAAATAAAATCTTTTTAAAAAATAAACTGTTCATACAAACAACATGGTTGATGCTGACCATGACCTGCTTTCCTTCTGGGAGTCTGGAACTTTGGTACATGCTAGGCAGAGCTGCCTACATGGCCGGACCCCAATAAAACCCTTTGGGTGCTGAATCTTTAACAAGCTTCCCTGGGCAAAAATGTTGCACGCTCCTTCTCTGTATTTTTATTACTGGCAAAAGAATCAGCTTTGTGTTACGCCTCCAGAGAGGGAGAGAACATAAGGAAGCCTGCACCTGAATTCCTCCATTTTTCCCCGTGTCCTTTTTCTCTTATAATCTAGCTGTGTATTCTTATAATATCATTATAATAATTTTAGCATGAGAAGAACTATCTGATGAATTCCATGAGTCATTCTAGTGAATTCCCAAACATAATATGGTCCTAGGGGCCCTCATGGTATCCCCCCCCATATTTCATCCAGGACTGGGCCATGTCAGTTCTACATCCTAAAATATATTTCAAATGATGGTGCTGCTTTTCTTTATGTGTTGTCACCGCTCTGGAAGATGCCATCATCTTTTATTTGTATTGGACTTTAGAGGACCCAATAAAACAAAAACAAAAACAAAAACAAACAAAAAACAAACAAAAAAAACCTTTTTCCCCCCTGCCTGAGTTTGGAACCAACTGAAAGAGATAGTAAGAGACCGAAGTGTAAACTTTATTTAATAACAAAAATCTGGATTGGAGTAGCTTAAATGTGCAGCCAAATGGATTTGCTAACATCTCCAGAATTAAATGTATATGCCCAAATTGCTGCCTCTACCTTAGAGCTGTCCCATCTTGAGAGGATGAACCAGATTTTTTTTTTATAAACTAGATTATACTCTCTTTAGACAGACAGTTTTGTAGAAAGGAGAAAGGAGTGGCTGAGCATACAAAACAAGAGAGTA